CAGATTGGGGAAAGGCTGGCCTAGGTAATATTTTTGATCAGCATATACCTTGAAATGTAAAACTGCACAGAGGTGATCTTGAAATAATGTATATGTCCAATTGCTTTAGAAAAATCCTGCAGCATATGAACTGTGATAAATGTGAATCTATATTAGACATTAGCTAAAAGATGAAAAATATATATGCACAGATGTATATTCACCTGAGCTATTGCAGAAATCACTGTGGGCAAATCGAACAAAGGCAGTCGTAAAATATTAAACAGAGAGATAGAAGTAAACACTTTCGCTGCAGTTAAAACATTATCTTCATCCAATAGAAAATAGACTCCAAAGGTAGCCAGAGAGACCTTTAAGAGAAAGATGTGATGTTTTTATTTTCCCATTTGTCAGAATAGTTATTTCCATTAGTACTGTAAATCAGTTCAGCCTTATTGACATTGAGAACAACCAATTAAAAATGTTTTCTTGATAGACGAAGTAGAAGGAAAAAGTAGCACAGCTCTTCTGAATGCCATTTCACTTATATTTTGCTTACTTATAAACAAAAGTTTAAGATTTTAGTGTAAATAATGCCTAGCTCTCAAACATCTGGTATACCAATAATGTTGCTTGAGCAGTAGCCATAACCAAACTGTAGAATTGACTTGAAAAGCTTGTTCAAAACTAATTGCAAGTTTGCAGCATTAGTAAATAACTAAAATTGGGCTGGAGAACTTCATGAGATCTGGGAACAAACCACAAAACAAGAAAGCTAATTCAGCAGCAAACCACTACACTGTGCTTCAGGCCACTAGAAGGGGTAAATTTGTTTTCTTTCCAAGCTAAATTTAACCTCTTGGACAGTCTTAAACAAGAAAATTTCAGGGAGCAGGTAAGGGTGGAAGTAGCAACACTGGGGGCAGCATGAAACTCATGGATCATGCATTGCTCCACCTCACCTTCGAATGGTTACACTGTAGCTGACATTACATTCAGTGCTTTCCTAGGTATTGGCTTGTATCCCAAGTTGCTCCTCCATTTTTATAATGGGATGGACAAGACAGCTTCCCTTTCTATCTATGGTCCCTGACACCATATCTCACACAATACTGAAGGACCAGCAACCCCCAGAGGCTTTTCAGGCAGGCTAGAGGGAAGGAGGAGGTGGGCAAGCTCTCTTCCATGAACGTGAGCTTTGTTCCTTTCATGGAAAGAAAACTGTGATCCTAAACTTCCATAAAACTTTATTCAGTCTTTTTCAGAACCATATCTTCTTTAGCACCTCCCCCATGAAAGCCTTTACTGACTTATGACAACAATTTAAAATCTGAGCACATAAACCAAATCCCATACTCACTGTAATCAAGGCATTAAGTTTAAATGACTTGTTCATATGCTATTTAAACTAATCTAAAAACATTTCCAGACTTCTGTTCTTTCAATATTGGTGATTTATACACCAGTATGTGATAAAATTCTGAATATCTGTAGTAAGTTATGGCAAAGCTGTTCTTTATCAGCAGTGTTTCCATGGGCTTAATGGAATACAGGATATGTAGTTACCCGAAGGTTTTGCACTGAAACACACCAGAAAAGGGATGCACGTCAATGTCAGCATAGAGAATGTTGTCAGGTACCCAGAGGACTTCAAAACATCTATTTCCTGTTCCCGAAGTTCCACAATCTTTTTCTGATATGAAGGCTCCCATGCATATAGTTTGAGAATCTAAATGGAAAGTGATATTTTAATACACCAGTGGCAGTTAGCAAAATATTCTGAAGTGCAACTTACGTTCAAACTTTTTGTATTGGAGAAAAAATCTAGGCACCAAATCTGTTTCCCAAATCTGCAACAGTCCCTCAAAAAACAGAACAAGAGTAATGCTCATCAGACCAAGAATCCATCTCATCCACCATTTTGTTCACATAGTGGCAAACCAGCTATCTGTGGAAATTCACAAGTAATACGTGACTGCAACAGCATCCTTCCGCTCATGTTCCTAGAAACTGTGCATATAATTGTGCCAACCTTGATACTGGAGTAACACCACTATAGTCATTATGACTAGCAACCATTGATACCCTTGTCTTCCACAAATTTGTCTACTCCTTTTTTAAAGCCACCACTACCACCACTACCACCAGCCACCATTATCACTACATTTTGTGATAATTAAGTCCATAGTTTATGTGCTGTGTGAAGTACTTCCTTTTATTGGTCCTGAGTCTTCCACTAATCCACTTCATTAGATGATCCTAAGTTCTAGTATTACAGGAAACACAGAAAATGTTTCCTTAATCATTTTGCATGAGACCAAACAAAACGACTTATTCTTGCAATCTATTTTAGTTAGACAGTTTAGCTCAACCAGATGCCCTTCCATAACAACACAAGAATCAGTTCCTTAAGCTTAGTTCCAGGTTAAGTTATTAGATGCAATTTTGTGGCTCTGATGAAATACACTGGCAGCTTTGTGAAGAACATGGTTTGGGGGTCATCTTGAAGCTAAACTGGTATAGTCAGCTCAGGTATAGTCAGCATTTTTGATGAAGAAAAACTAGGATCTGATCATGATAAACCTCTTCAAAAATGGGAAAATGCATGATTTAGTAAACTACATGAAGTATATATGCCAAGGCATAAGGAACGGCATAATAAATAAATAAATTTAAAATAAATTATACCTGAGCCATGTAAATATGTCAGTTAACATGAAAACTGATCCATCAATGAATTTTCTTAACCAGATGTCTAGCTTTTGCCCCTAGACATCTGATTTAATACGAGTACATACACAGATTCATTATCTGTCTTACCTTTATTCCATGCAAAATTTCACTTAGGATTTTAATTTGTCGATCACTATTCTTCATTTGATATTTCTAAAAAAAGAGAAAAGATTCCATTTTTAAGCAGCATAACCCAATTATGAACTCTGTATTAGAGCTCTTAAGCCAATACAGTGAATAATGTTTTAAGGACAATTTTAAAATATGTCCCTAACGTGGCAGGTGAATAGACTTTTATTTTTAAAAAACTTTAACTGAATAGCCAGGGTAAACACAGATGTTTCAGCAGTTATCATTTAATGATGTTCATCCATTCATTACATTTCTATATTGCGCAATCAGCAAAGCTCTGTGGGTGGTTCAAATGACAAAACAGAATATAAAAACTTTAATAAACAAAAATGTAAAATAATCTATAATGATTAAAAACAATTAACTCCCAGGATCCAATACAAAACCTACAATAAAAAGCCCCAGTGTATGCTGACAAATGCCTGAAAACAGAGAAGTCATAATTTGGTGTCCTAAAGTTGAAGATGTTGGCACCACATAAGCCCCACTGGACAGAACATTCTATACTAAGGTCTTCTCACTCATTCTCTTGGGTCACCCTATGGCATTATCACCCTGTGCTCGTTTGCCAGTGTCCACCTTCTTCTGCAACTCCCCATATCATGTTCCCGGCCTTTCTTTTGAGAGTGTCCCAACCCTCACAAGCAGCTTTTGGGTAGGTATGGGGACATTACACTGGAGAGCAGAAGGTGAAAAACCTCTACTACACAAGTACTCCTTGTGCAATAATGAACAACCCATTCAAATGCTAATTCTTGCTGCTATATGGTACAGAATCTTGGTATAATGCTCCAGCTGAAATTTCTCACCTTGAGCTGCTTCACTTTGGCAGCAACAAATGCATTGATAGGTAAAAGCAAAAGTAGCACGCCAATACCCGCTAACACTGAAGGACCCAGTTCTTGCCAAAGGAAGAGGATGGTTAACAGGATCTGGAAAGGGGCTGACCACAAGAGGTTGAGGTTGATGGTCAGTTCCATAAGTTGCTGGATATCTGCTGACATGAGGTTAACTATTTCTCCAGTTGTGTACTTTTGTCGTGAAGAGCTGGATAAATTTAAGGCCTGAATCCAAAGAGGAAATAAATGCAATGAACATTTTCAAAAATATTTTATAGTACCCCCTCAACATTTATATGCAACCATAATACCTTTTTGTATACTAGGCCAACAAGTGCAGTCTTAATTTTGACAGCAGTAAGCATGTTATGACGTTGGTAAACCTGCTGGATAAGTGTCTGCAAAACAACCACAACAAGAAGAGCAATTGCTTGTCCATAACCATTCCAGTATGAACCAGAATGGAGTTCAAACTGTAGAATCATTTTTCTGTAAAGAAAAATAATATTGTGTACATATTACTTCATTACTGTAATAATTACAATATTAAGTACTGTTCTCCTCTTCTTTAGAACAAACATTAACTAGATCAGACAACCAGAAAAAAAAAATCTTCATTCTGCTTAAAAGAGTGCCCTCCAGATGATTTGGACTACAATTCCCACCATCCTTGACCATTGACTAGGGCTGATGACAATTGATGTTCAAAGCATCTGGAAGGCACAAGGATGGAAAAGGCTGCCTTATGTGTCTACAGAAAGCAGATACATTTTTAAAATTATGATATTGCACTTACATTCCACTTTTTTCCACTTGTGAGGAACTCAAGACACTTACGTACATAGCTCCATTTTATCCTCATAACAAAAGCCCTGTGAAGCAGGTTAGGATGTGAGCGAGTGACTGGTTGATAGTCACCCAGTGAGTTCCATGGTGAAGTAGGGACTAGAGCACTGATCTTCCAGGTCCCCAGTCCAACAAGGTAACTCTACTGTGGCTCCACTACTTCTATTTGTTATTTCATGTAGCATTTAAACAATGATGAGAGCCAGCATGACATAAAGTGCTGAAATGGGACTTGGGAGACCCAGATTCTAGTCCCTACTTCACCATGGAACTCACTGGGTGACACTGGGCCAGTCATGGACTCTCAACCTAGCCTACCTCATAAGGTTGTTGTGAGAATCAAATGGAAAGGACTGGAATGTTATACAAGCTGCCTTAATTTTCTTACAAGAAAAAAGGAAGAATATAAATGTAACAAATAAATGTGTGTCCAAACCAGGCCAAAGCTGAGTTACATATCTGTCCTCAACAGAAATATTCAAGTTTTGCTGGCATTGATGGAATGCCATCAAATTCTAATGGCATTCTATTAAAATGGAAATTTTAAAAGCATGCAGTAAGCAGAGTTGGTATAACATTTTCCCAAATAGATGTATTAGTTAAAAAGCCAAAGACAAAACAGTAAGCATACAAAACCAAACAACCAGCAGTAGACAGATACTGTAGTCAATGTAAAACAGCTTGAACAAATGACTTAGACATTGCCACTACTGAGGACCCTTTACAATAGATTAAATCTTTAGTTTTTCCAGTCTTCTCACTAGGAAGCATCAGAATACATTGCTTTTATACTGGTTACAAGGTGATGAAAAGTGCACTTCATTTGCATTGCTTTCTTTCCGCAAGTTGTGAAATTTTGCACTACATTTAATCCATGCAGTCTTCAACAAGAACCCAAGGTGCTTAGATCAACTAGCCTGAAAGTAATATTTGCAAGATTTATATACCACTTTTTATCCTACAATGTATTACATACCTGCATTAGACAGATTTGCAAACTTACTTCATAATCTGTGGACTTGTAAAGGCCAATAAATCAGCTATAACTTTTAGAACAGTGACTCTGATCAACATAAATTTAAATGTATGCCACAGTGGGGAAAGGAGAGATGGCTTTTGGGAAATCGATTTTCGAATCACTTCTTTAGAGGAAGAGGTCTGTGGGCAGAGAAATATAAGGAAGTCAGAAAAGACTGAAAAACTGTTTCCCAGCAACAAAAGAACATCAGACTAAACCAATGTATGCTAAAAGCTATTGCAGCACCTTGTGCTTTACTTGTGCACCTATCATAACAGCATCTGTGTACTTTTTGTATGCATGGTGTCCACATTCCAAAGGATCATGAAAGGATTCATTCCTAACACTTTGATGAAATACAGCATGTAAAAGAAGGATGCTTTTTGATGGTTTATTGAAACTGAGCTGCACACTTCATGTACCTCTGTATGGTGCTGCACATACTTTTCAAAAAGTGGTTCCACTGTGTTAAATGCATTTCCACCTCTGAAAACTGGTTTAATTGCAGTGATAGATTTATAAAGCAGGATTTGTAACTGTTTATCCTTTTCTTACTAATATACTTATCAGTTTCAAGTAACATGGTAGTGAATGTTATCGTATGGGGTGCATAAATAGAAGCATCACTTCCAGAACAAGAGAGGTACTAGTTCCCCTTTACTCTGCACTAGTCAGAGCTCATCTGTTCAGTTCTTGACACACAAGTTTTTAAAAGATGCAGAAAACCTAGGAAGGGTTCAGAAAAGGCTAACCAAGATGATTGGATGATCTGGAAACCAAGATGATCTGGAAGCTAAGCCCTATGATGAGAGGCTGAAAGAGCTGGGCATGCTCAACTTCAAGAAGAAAAGACTACGAGGAGATATGATAGCACTCTACAAGTACCTCAAAGGCTGTCACAAAGACCTCTTTGCACTCACCCCTGAGTGTAGGACACAGAACAATGAACTGCAGCACATCAGATTCAAGACAGACACCAGGAAAAAGTCCTGTTAGAGCATATGAATTCACAGATTCCTAGAATAGTAGGGTTGGAAGGGGCCAAGAAGACCATCGGGTCCAACCCTCTGCTGGTGCAGCATGTCAAGTCACCCCATCCCACTCAGATGACTGTCTTGTGTTGACTTGAATGTCTTGTGGGAGAGCTCGTGACCTTTCTTGGCAACTAATATCATGTCCCATGCTCCTTTCCAGTACTCCTAAGGGCAGTTTCAGTTCAAACATACAACTATGGCCATTATTTGACCTGCTGAGCCTAATGAGACTCCTGCAGACTGTGTAACTTCCCCATTTTTTCCCCAGTGTTTTCCTAGTCATTCCCATGCCCAAATTTGTCACCCTGCCTTTTATACCATCTCACCTGATGAAGCAATGCAGAGATTTTGAAAGCTTCCAGATTGGTTCTGATCCTTTTATTGGCCTAATAAAGAGATTTCAGTCATATGGATCTTGGGATTTTGTCTATGGTCAACATAGCTACCTTTGCTAGTTTTGGTAATCGTTTTTAAAGTCATTTCTAATAATGAAGAGGTGTGTGTCTTAGTGGCTTTTCCAGGGACCCGCCTTCTGACTTTCCAGCAGCAGCTGCCAGGCTGGGTCTTTGATCAGAGTGGTTTATCAGAGCAGTTTGTCACAACTGTATATTAGCTTTTTTCCTTTTCCAGATCTGCCTTTAAGCCCTTCAGAAATCTCTCTGAAGATGTTACTGCGAATAACACAATTGCATTTGACATTCTTAAGAGGTTAAATGACTGCAAAAGGTGCTTGAGTCATTCTGCCTTCAGCAGTAAATTTAGGATTAAAGTTAAATGAAATCGATGGGAATTGCTTCTGAACCACCATGGTTAAGATTGTGCTGCATGGCTTCTCTATTTTTTAATCTTTTCACTGTGTACATCTTGATTTTAAGAAAGCTAGTTAAGCAGCTTGATGTCAATTCAAAGGTACAGAACAAAGTGCAGCAGCAACTCTACACTTACATTTCAATTCTCATTTCTGCCCCAGTGCAAGTATCTGTAAATAAATACTGTAGAAGAATTCTGTACTACTCAAGGACATGCAGGAAGCCTTTCTCTGCATTGTGTAATTTTTTTCCACCCAACTGAATCTCATTCTCATGGTTGCATTTTCCAGAGGCAGCAATATGGATGCATGCATGAGAGACTCCCATGGAAATCTTGCTAGGTTTCAAAGGAGACCTGTGTTCTATTTCACAGACTAGGAAACTGTGTGGATCGCCTGACCTACAGTCATCTGACTTGCTCCAGATGTACAGTCACATGTATAGTGTTTGGGTGCTGTCAGGAGGCAAAGCTAGAGAGAAGCTATACAAACTGTTGTGAAGCAGCCTTGAGCCTGCTCATTTAGTCACACGAAGAGGGAAATCCCAGTGCAGTGAGTGAACTGCAATCCAGAGATCCTTTACTGAACAGCTGCCTGGTAAACATATTAAGCTTTGGTGCAAGCAACACATGGACATCACAAGCTAAAGCAACAGACTAGGAGAGGAAAAGAGATGTACCAAGATAAGCAGTAGAAGTAGGTCCACAGGACTCCTTATAAGATGAAAAATTATTCTAGTTTCTCAAGCTCCAGTTTATAAATACAACCTCTGGAGACAAAGGTCTTACAGTAGGAATATTTGTATTTTTCTCAGAATTACCTTTATCTCCTTGGTTGATTTTAAAATTTCCTTTCTCCACTGCTTTTCAAAATCAGGACATACAACATAGGCCGAATCACTCTTGTTTAGCTCAAACAGGTCATCCCTTTCCAATGGTCTTTTATAGCCTGAAGTTATAACTCTGTAAAAATGCAAGTTAATTACTAAATAATACAAAGCCAAAATAGTAACACTTCATATGGCAGAAAATACAGATCTTGATCCCACACAACTTGTCTTACACAGTGAGAACAGCAACGTAAAGTGCCTAGGGGAGTGAGATGATCCTGTCTAAAATATTATGCTTCCAAAGCACTAAAGCAAACAAAGCAGGATTCTGGATTTTCTCCATCTCCTGTGAACAGGTGTGAAACCATGAGATAAAGCAAAAACTGGTTCCCATCTTTCCTCCCACTGATTCAAACATCACTTTGCCTGACAAACGGAGAGAAATGGTTAGAAAATGTCCAAAAGTATAGCCAACGTTTGATGTCAGAAGCAGGCCTTTGAAATTGATACTAAGAAACACATTTAAGCATAAATGTTGGCAGGCCTATACCTTTAATGAAGTATTTATTTATTTATTATTTTATTTAAAACTTTTGTACCCCGTCCACCACTGGCATCTCAGGATGGCTTACAATAAGAAATAAATATAATAATGAAACAGACACAGCATCCAGCAGTAAAGACAAAAACCCTAGTTGACTCTAGCCTTATTTGGGCATTCTAGTCACCCTTCCTGGAGCATGCTGGGAACTAAGGGCATCTTTCTGTCTATAAATACATACAATTGCATTCAAAATGGCTGTAACAGGGAAGCTTTTCCCTCTACATAGGCTCTTCACATGATTTAGAACCCCTGCTCCAGGTGTTCACCCTCCTATTCATGGATGAGGATGGGTGGACGGGAAAGCTACCAGGATCAGAATATCCAAGCAGCGTTTTGTGCCTGTGCCATCTTAAGATACATACAAGCTTGAGTGGACCTGGCCCATTAACAAGGTATAAAGAGAACCAGATGATTTGCAATTATGCAAGAAAATAAGAACTGAGACAAAACTTGTTCTCTCATGTAAAATAAACAAACAGGAAAAGAAACAGAGCAAGGCAGCCAGATGTTCTACACTGTGGGTAATAACAGTTGGATCTTCTATTATGAAAACAAGCATTTGTGTATTCTTGCCTAAATGAAGCAAAAGACAAATATTTCAAAATGGAGGAAGCACAGAATGGAAAAGAAAATGACAACTGGTGTGAGTCAGGTGACATGATGCCGTCAGGCAGACTATCAACTAGAAGGAAAGTCAGTGGGGCATGTCTAAGAGATAAGCCAGGAGGGAATCCTAAAAGATATATTTAGAGTATTGCCATGTGACTGTCAGGATCTGGGCTGCTCTGGTGGCCAGAACCAGAACATCTACCACTGTATTTACAGGAGCAGACCCTAGTCCCTCTGGAGATCTCATTCTACTGAAAAGCACCAGCTAGGAGTCCTGGGGGAAGAGCTATATAAGAGCAAGCTCTTCCCTCCAGAACTAGCCTCAGCAACACAGGCCTTCCTGTAGCTGCAGTGCAGGCACCTTTCCTTCATACTCTGGTCACGTTGCTTCAGCAGCACAGGTCCCGGGCTTATCTCCTGCCTGACCTTTCCTGCTCCTGAATCCTGCTTTTCCATGTTGCCTCGCTGTGGTGCCTGCCTCTTTCCTCAACTATGTCATGCCTCACCATGTTGCCTCAGTAATGCAAGGCTTCCTGCAAGGTGTGGTTCAGCTCCTGCATCTTGCCTGATCCCTGCTACACCTGGTTCCTTGTTGCCTCACATATCTTGCCTTGCTATGTGTTGCACCCTATTACCCTGCCCAAGGGACCTGCACCTCTGCTTATCTTCCTGGTTCTCAACCCTTGGCTTGTTCCTGACCACATCCTTTTCTGTTCTAATGCATACTTCTGGTTCCTGACCTTGGCCTGCACCATAACTATGATTTGGACTCTGTCTTTCCTGAAGTTCTGTTGCCCTGGTCCTGGTGCCTCTATTGCTTTTGCCTTGTCTCTGGTCACCCACATCCTGGCTGAAGATCCTGACAGTGACCAGTCTCACGACAAAGAAATCAGTCAAAGTCTGAAAATTGGACTTTGGAAGCTTACTCGGTAAGCCAGGCGTCCAGTAAATGTTTCAGTCCAAGGGGTTGTGTTGCATTCGTGGGACGCACCACAGGCAAAAAGGTTGGGCCAAATGTAACACATTTACCAACATATTCTAGGATTTCAAGTTCTTCTTGTCTGTAACTAACCTTTCAAATGACAGGGGGAACTGCACAGAAGCCAAAAACCACCAAACTATCAGTGATTCAGAAAGAAATAATAAGAGGTGGACTGGGGTCCCAGGCAGTAGTTTTGGCATTTGGTTATCAGCTTCTGCAACTCTGCCATAAACAAAGAGTTGGAATCAGTAATCAGAAAAGGCAGAGCTGAAGATGAGGAACACTTAGGCCTGAAGGAAAGGAAGCCTCTTAAAAAGAAGTCAAACTTGTTAACTAGCATGAGTTTGTTGAATAACACAGCACTATCTTTTACAGATTTTGAAAAATGGTCTTCAGTCCTATCCTTCTACATACAGATGCAAACACCTTTGATTCCAAAGAGATGCAAACACACACCATTACATTAAGTTGGCTGCTTATATTAATATCTCATTCTCTGCCATACTTTCAGGAACTTGATTGTTCTATTTAATCTTGGCCATTTTGAAATAAACCCGTGACTCCAAACATATAAACAGTGAGTAGTGCTCACGGGTATTTATTATAAGTAACTTTGTGATGGCTGACTCATCTAATCAGATTGTCATTTCAACTTTTTAAAAGAGGTTTTAATAATTGTAATGAGATTGATCCCAGAATGAGTTCTGGAAGAGAAAACAGGGAAGCATGATTCACTTACATAAATGTTGTTCAGTTCTCTATGCTAAATATTGACTCAATCTAATTTCAGATTCTACACTACGCACATACTGTAGATAATGTAAAAACGTCAAACATGCAGAAGCTTAACAGAGAAACATGATGATGGTATCTATACTTCCTCCTATATTTAGGCTATAGACGCTAAACATGCCTGCTGCACCAGGAAGGCCAAATGGCACTCTGGGAGAGGCTTTCCCAAGGCTCATTTAATGGGGGAGTGGTTGCTTGGATCAATGTTCTGATGTATTGTCATATTTTCATTCTCCATATTCCTATAAGCCCAGAACATGCCAGAGACATTTTGTTGCCCAAGATGGCACCTCCATCTCATCCCATCTACAAAGGCTGGCCTAACTTGTAGCTGACTCTTACTTTAACAGTAGTCATAGCACAGTGTCCCCCAAGGCACCTGAAGGGCACCACAGGTCTCCTCCCAACATTGGCCACTATTCCCTGTTGGGAATGGGAAACTTCCCATACCACTTGGGAATGGGAAACTTGGTTCTCCTACTTTTTATTAGAAAACCTTCACACCATGCATGTACTTATTTATGTCTATTGGGGTATGTGTGACCAAAAAAAAATAAAATAAAAATCCTTTAATAAATTAAAAGCTTAAAAAAGTTCTATGTCTTCTTCAATTCTGGTTAAGATTGATTTACTCGAAAGCTTGCTATCTTTTTAAAAGAACTGCATGTATAGCTTTTATACCTGCTAAACCAGGAATATGTTATCTTGCTGAGAAAGGATGCACCTTCTTCAGGGCTGCATTTCTGTAGAAAAACACATTTCAAAAGATCTGTCATTAGCCTGTGCAGAAATAAAATAAAATGTGAAATTTTGCAGGAGTTTGAAAGTTTGCTGTTGAATGTATATGAAGTTTACACACACACACACATGCACAAATACTTCCAGTTTGCATGGTATTATACCATCAGCATGCATGGCATTTTGTTGAATGCATCTGGCTACAGCCCCTATTGTCTCATGCACACCTAAAAAGACATGCATAAATATTTGAATATAAGAACTGAAAAAATATTGTCACAGTTGACTCTTGCAATTCCAAACAAGTTTTGCAGTGACTTTGGCCAGGCTCTTATCACAGGACAGACAGGCCTGATACTCTTATTATCAATCCTAAAGATAATTAGGTTAGTTAAAAGTAAAAATAGTTTATGCAGGAAGCAAGGACACTAAAATCCACAAGAGCCTATTTCAAGTTCTGTGAAAAGAATAGCATCCATTGTTTTATTTGCATGCTACAATGTTGATAATTAGGGTTGCAAGCTGTCACTCAGTAAGATATGTCTTTAGTTATAGACACACAGGACACATAGATTTGGATTGCTAGTTTATATCAATATGTAAATCCAGGCTAATCACACATACTGCTGAAGTCACTGTGCCCCCAGTCTATCCACTGACTCAAGGACTCTTTTCTGTTTGGGGTGGCATTCATCTTTTTCCTAGAAATCTTTCTGGGGTTGTTCTTAGTTCCTGATTTCAACTTTCGGATCATGGCCCTTGCTTGGGCATGTACGTCCTTCAAACATCCTCCCCTTGGGTGCTGCTTCCCTTGGCTTCTGCTCCACTATTATTGAGCAATTTAGGGGCCATGGTTCAATGGCAGAGTACCTGTTTTGGACTCCAAAGGCCACAGATTCAGTTTCTACCAATTCTAGTAGATTTGGCATCCCAGTGATTGCCAGAAGATGTAGGAAAATTCCTGTATGATATCCCAAGTTAGTAAAGACAATACGGAGCTTAATAGTCTGACTCAGCACATGGTAATACCTAAGAACCCAGAAGATCTTACCAAACTGTATAGAAAAGCAAAACAAGGCAAATGAAATTCACTGATTGTGAAATGTGATCCTAAAAAGACCCTATCAACTTCACATATAATTTTATGGGAGCTGAAAAATTCTTAATTAAATGTACAATCCTTTATACACTTCCCTGGGAAATAGTGGGGTTTAGTTTTGGGCAGACATACCTAAGATATCACTGTTAAGTTATTCAGCATACTAAGGGTTACTGTGTGATGTTGTTATGCCTCTGCCTTAATGCAACCCAGTTTTGCAATTCATGGTCTAGATTATACCTTTCAAAACATGAAGGTTTTGTGGCATCTTAAAAACTAAGGCTTTTATTTCAGCACAAGCATTCATGGACACTGTCCTGAAATATTACATGCTACATTTCACTTCTCTTTCACAGCTCAGTTTTCATCTCTCCAGCGTATGTATATAAATCTGCCAGAAACCTGATGAAGTAGACTGTGGCCATAAAAGCTTATGCCAGAATAAATGTATTGTTTTTCAAAGTGCCACAAGGCTCTTTGTTCTTTTTGTTTTGTTTTGCCTGATACAACAAACAGGTCTCTGGAAATTATAAAATTTTAAAATTACTTTCTCCTACTCTGCTTTTAACACTTCAGGCCTGCTCACAAGCAGCACAAGAGGGGCTCAAAGATACAATTCTTGGTTTTATTTTTTGTTCCTTATAACTTAAAAGGAGTGTAAGTACAGCACAAATTAGCTCAGCAAAGAAGCGGTGAGAGGTGGCATTTTACTCATTTGTCCTGGGTCATATTCTCCAAGTGAACCCTTCTTTCTCCCAGTAGCCACAATTAGCTTTGCAGGAAGGGAGGGAAAGAAATCAAGAAAATACAGGAGCTGTCTGTCTCCGCCAGCACAACTAACAGCAGCTTGAGATGTGTGGAATGCGCACAGACACATGCAGAGTTTCAACTAGGAAACTGGCATGGCCAAACATCTCCCATGGCATTGCTCCTCCAATCAAATTACCCTCCAGGGGGTCTTTTAAATGTCAGTGCTTAATGCAAATCTGATCACAGCTATCCCATTATCACACCTGTTTTAGCCTGTAACAAACGTGAGCATGACCAACATTTAAGGGAATTCAGAGTGCATCAATTATTCCTCCACCTAGTACCATGGTCTGGATCAAGAGCATTTTGACTGAAGGGCTTGCAGATCAGAGTGTGTAACGTCCAGGTTGTCAGAAGAACTATGACTAGTTCTAAAATCAAAATTAATTACATCTTCTGTATAATGCATTGTTATATGATGAGCTTGTAACGGGAAACTTAAAGGATGGCTTTAGAAAGCAAATCACATATTCATAACCTAAGCGGGAACCCACCTGGGACTGTGATTCATGCATGTCTAAGCTTGTTTGGACTCGGACTACGCCAGCCAAAGGCTGAAAAGCGCTACCCCTTTTCGTGAGCTACCTTTAACCTCCCACCTGCTTTACCAAACAGCAGCTTGCAGAACACCCAGCTCCAGCACGGAAGAAACCTGCGCCCTTGCATGTCCCTTCTCCTGGCATCAGGCATCATTGTCCACTTTCCCAGGGTTCCTCCCGGAATGTACAGCAAGGCGAGAGCACCTCTGAACACATGCAGAGTATGCCGAATAAGCACGATTACCGGGAGCAGGATCTCCACACCTAAAGCCCGCTCCCGCTTTCTAAGTCCGCGGGGCTGAAAGAAGAGGGGTCCCGCCCCGCATTTCTCTCCCTTTCTACAAAGACACTCCCCTATTTTTAGAACTATCTCAGGCAGATCCTCACTAGCGACATCTACCTTTCGACTGTAGGGCTGGAGGCGTTCGTAGGCGCCTTCCCGGGCGCCCCGCGTTTCTTCACCCCCCATTTCCGTGTCTGTTCCCGGACTTTGCAGCAGCGAACAGCGCCGGCTCCACGCAGGTCCGGCGGGCGCTTCCCTCGGGGCGTCCCCGCGAGAAGAGGCAAGGCGGGGCTCTGCCGCGCGAGAGACGAGGGCAGCCAATCCGGCCAAAGACCGCCCACTAGGGAGGGGCGCCCAAGGGCCGGAGAACGCCGAGGGAGGGGGCTGCGTGCTTGTCCAAGTTAGCCTCGGATCGCCTTGCTCAGTGCCCCAGGTCTTGCTTCGAAGGTAATAGCAGTGATAGCTTGATTACGGTGGGGAAGCAACAGTACCTTTCCCCGATTTTCTTAGGGTCCAGAGAAGCATAATTTTAACCGAATGGCTACCTGCTATGCCTCTTTGATGTCTGTTTAGAGTAGGTGTAGGGGCCCCAATCCATAGCGTCTCCTAGCTTCCATGCTAGGGTCTCGAGCCACATCAGGGCTCCCGCACTCACTGTGCAGTAAAAAATGGAAAAAAGGGGATAGATCCTAGACCCATATTTAAACAAAACCCAGAACTACAACAATCAATAGCGAATATAACCGTAGCATAATAATAATGTCAAAATAAAGACCGCAGCAAAGGAAGGATTTTCAAGCACTCCTTCTGTCCTTCTTTCTCTGTGCTCCTTTCCCATCGCTGTGCAAATGACTGGAGCAATTTTTCCATTCATTTCCGTGGAACGAGGATGCCCAAACTTTCCACCTTTTCAAGAACTTCCAGTGGCTGTTGGTGATGGGGGGACTACAACCACCCACCCTTGTTTCCCGCCAGGAGAGATTTTTCGACTCCTAATAAAGCCAGTGAACTAATCCTTCCATCTGGGGAGAGGTGAACTCCCCCCTCCAGCCGTTTCTGGCAAGGACGACTTATCCTCCATGGGCAAGTGAATGGGGGGGGGGGGTGTCTCTGTTTCTCTCACCCACTCCAGATGCCTTTTCAATGCTGTAGAACTCACATGTGGTGGTAGTGGGGATACCTTCAGGTCTGCCTTAGTCCGGCTTTGCAGGCCCCCTGTGGCCACAGCACTGGTCATCTTCACTTTAGGGGAAATGCATTCCCCTGCAGAACAGGTTAAATGTTGTTTTACCCAAACAAACTACAAACCAAGAGTGTACCTCTGTGTTACATGGATTGCATCTTGGTCTTTAGCTCTCACCCAGGCATTGATTCAGAACACTGGAGCTGCTAGACACAGCTTTAAAATAATGTTTCCTTCAACTTCATTGCTCCACACATCCCATAACGCAGCCTTGATCTTGAAAATAAATGCAATGGTTGAGGCACTTGCACTGGCAAAGAGGACTGACTGCTATTTCTCAACCAAAACTTTTCAGCAGTTTAATATGTAGTGTTGATATAGCCAGTATTCAGGTATAATATAATCTTCCTGAGCTGTTTTTTCCTACAGAATAAATGGGTTTTTAAAATAAGAAAGCTATCCAGTGTAGGGGCATACCCACCCTCTTATCCCAATAGTCCATGCTGTTTCCTGACAATGCATTAGCACATTGTATATTAGAACTATCAGAACATATTAGAATCCAAGGTATCATGAACAGTATTATAGCCTTCTGAATCCATCCTTGCAGGTGGATTCTATTTCTTAGTTCTATTTACAGATCACCAAGATATCAGTGCAACCACATCAGATAGTAGAAGTCTTCTGATACCATTCCATTATAGGACAAGGGTGGCTTTCTTCATATAGCAGTGGTGGGAATGGAATAGAGTTATCTGAATTGTGTGGGATTGAATTCCATCCACCTCATGGTGGCTATTTCTATTAAAACAAAAACAAACAGAACAAAGCACCACCATACATGTTCAGGAATAATACATTTAATACCAACATATAGTTTAACTTTAACTTTTTTTGCAATGGAGGGTGCAGGTGAGGACATCTTCCTTCCAAGGAATTATAATCAGTGAATACATATGCTGATAAGGAAGTAGGGATGCCAAAACAATACTTGACTTATGCAGGGAGGGGATAAAAGAGAGAAACATACAGTTATCATGAAAAGGTGCATAAACAAACCAATCATGTCTTCATTTGGTTGTCAGTGTTTGGAAGGCCACCACCCATTTTTTTGGTCAGTGGGCATACTTTGTGATTTTGAGAGAGCATCACATCCACTTTCCCAAATGCCTGCCATGTGGTGGCTGGTCACTTCATGAAATGATCACTATGGTGGGCATGAGCATTCATAAGACACTCATTTTCCAACAGGCAGCTAGTGAGACCGTAAGAAATTTGCCACAAAACCTGAATACAAGAAATAGTGTAAATTGTAAAAAGCAAATCCACCGTTTGAACTCAAATGAGTATGGCATGGCTGGTTAGCAAGGATCTTGCCACAAGGCAGAGAAGTCTTTTAGGCCAGTACTACAGAATAACAGAGCAAAAGCAAGTAACCCATTGCCACAACCAAATGAGCCAAACTACAGCACTATAGGCCAGAGGAACTGTCACATTTTATTGGGCAGGTCCATATGACTTAGCAAGGCACATTGCACAAAACCTATACAGCGTGGCTTCTTTGCCCCAGGGCTCATGTTGTGCTCGACAAATGATTGGGTTTGGCATAGTTCCAAAGCTACTCCCTCCTTGGTGCTCCTCCAGGTATCCCAGGGGACACTGGAAGCACTGAAGTTGCTGCCTCTCCTTGTGCTATGCAGCTCTGATGGATTTGGGACTTTACCTGCATTTATTGTGTCATCCAGATTCATTCAAAATGCCAAAAACAGGAAGTTATAAACCCTACAAAAAGCCATGGCTTGTTGAGACTGCTTTGTAGCTGCAAAGATATTTGGGGTGGGGGGAGTGGAGCTGAGTCTGGACAATCTAAGCCAAGTGGATCCTTGTGGATCTACAAATGCGAAATATATATTATGCTTCTTCATGTCATCAAGGGCCATGCTCACAAACGTAAATGGTACTGGCCAGTTTCCAAATGCCCCTCTCTCTTCTCTACCTTTAGATTCAAAGTAACAAATGTGCACAAGTATGAAAAAAGTAGATTTTACCCAGAAACATGCTTGCATTACATTGTGATATTGTATGAAAACTCAATGTTTTAGCTATTTGCATTAGTTTTCCTATATTCATTCAAGTCTTGCTAAATATTTTCAGATATTCTCATGCCTGTTTCAAAAAGAGAATTAGCCTGCCATATTCTTGTTTTGTGTCTTTTATTGTGTAAAAGATTGTGGCATCCTTTTCATACATATATTTACTCAGCATTAAATCCTACTTATTATACTCTTTAATGTTATTATTTCCAAGTGAGACTGCAATCATGTGTGTACTTATTTGAGAGCAAGTTCCTCTGAAGTCACTGTACTTCCAAAATAAATCATGCAGGATCAAGCTCTGCCAGTTCAAACATGCAGAAATAACTAATAATTCAACAATTTAGGGTCTGTCAGCGAAGAATTTATGGCTTTCCTAGCATAAAAAATAAATATATTCCACCAGGAAAGCTAGCATAACTAAGTGTGTCTTTAACTTAAGCTTGAGCCTGACACATAAGGCCTTTATGTGCATGAAGTGTTTTGATTACATGTCTGAACATTCAAATATCCTGCTAGCATTCTGAAATGGCAGAGCTCAAGAAAAGCTACTCCGCATGCTACTTTTGCATATTTAATTGGCTGAACTCCAGGAGGCATGTAGGAAAAGCAGGACAATACAAATCATAAACTATTTCTGTACAGTCCTATGTTTGTTTAAATAGGAAAAAGATCCTACAACACATTAGGCCTTTATGTGCATAAAGTGTTTTGATTACATGTTTGAACATTCAGATATCCCGAATTATAGGTCTTTTGTTCCTTTCTAAACCTGCACAGAACTGCACCCTTAAAATCAATGTTTAAATCACACCAAACTTAGTGTTAGCCCATTTTACTGTAGAAAGTCACTAGGTGAAACAATACAGATTCTAGTATTCCTTTGTTAGGTATGCACTGTTTTAATTGTTGTTGATCAGGCATAAAAAGTAATTAAGCTATGCCCTCCTTTTGCGCTGGGGGTCAGCCTGTGTAATACCTTGCTTCAAATCATACATTTTTCTTCAGATTGAAGTTACCGTAATAACCATGTCATATTTTTTGCAAAACAAATTAGTGAAAACCAGAGAAACTTTGTTTCTTGAAACTATGTAGTCAGGCTCATTGACATTTATGTTACTATATTTTTATTCATTTTCTCTTTGTTTTTTTCCTATCATTTTCCATGCTACTGTCACTGTCACTTTTCTCCCGAGGTCTTTTCCTTTTAGGCATATTGTCCTCAACTAGATACTGTGTGTGGTTCTTTGGTTCTGGGTAGATACATTCAAAAGAGCCTTGCCTTGGATTCAGGTAGGGTGATACAGGAAAACTTGGAAATGGTGGTGGTGTTGTCATCTGATAGTAAGGAAACCGCTGTCCCATTGGACTAAAAGGAGTATATTGCTGTGCTAAGAAATAGGTCATCTACAAAACAAAAAGTAAAACACATTTTAAAGTTTTGCACACAGACATTTATCGCTATCATTAAATCAGCTTGAACCAACTTGTTGGTATGTAAGCTTTCAAATTACACTAACTTGGTTTGCACATAATGCTAGCTAGTGGTTTATTTAGTTCATAAGCAGACCATGATCATGTGATGGACAGTTGAACTGTGGTTTGTTCTCTCAGTTCCTGGAATGTTTGTTTCCTTCTTCCTTCATCCACTCTTTCCCCATTTTCCAAGTGCCTTTGAATGCTATAGAATGGCTGGGAGGTACTTTTCTTACCTGCTTCCTCTGTAACCTGGTGAAACAACCCATGACTATATCATGGTTCCAGGTTCAGACTTAGCAACAACCCATGATTTAAACAACTGTTGCTTAACTCATGACTTGTTCAGTCTTCACATAAATCACACTTACACGTTTAGCATGATGTGAAAACCCTGAATAATGGTTGGTTATATAATATGATGCCTATGGGTGCCATGGATCGTCATTGGTTAATTAACCCACAACAAACCACAGCATGTAATCTGAGCCAGGCCATGGTTGGTTAGCACAATTCAGTGGACACATCACTGCATGCTAGAATTCAACAGCCAATGCTGTCAGTTATCATTATATTGGAATCCAACCAACTGAATCTGTTCTGGGATAGATTGTAAATGTAAGTCATTATAAGTTATTTACGGACAACAAAGTTGTCTGCAGGTACAAAGTATGTCACTCCAGATCAGGTTGTGGCCTGCTGTCAAAATCATTTCCAGTTCAAACAACAGAACATGTTAATGGCTTTAGGTTATCCAGAGGGTTTTTTGGTTTGTTGTTTAAGCTTGTATTAGATACTGGTTAGGTGTGCCAGACATGCCTCTGTGGGCAGTCATACTTCTGATTATACTGTTTGAATCATGCTGCCTTCCCACTGATATCACTAATGTTCAGCTAGAGGTTAGCTGATTGTTTCACACTGACCCAGCCCAGAATGCTTCCTACTCAAATGGCCAGAGTGCATCAACCCATCAGATGTGGCTAGGCCACTAGAAGATGCCACAAAGGATACCGCTGCAGGGTCTGGCTGATTCCTTCGTGAATTGGTATAGGATGGTGGTACAACTCAAGTATAGCCTGGACATGCATGTGGTGGCCATGTCGTGAGCAGAGCCAGCTGGAGCTGGGGGTCAGACTAGATGGCCTGGGAGGCCCCTTCTGACTCGCTCTGTTTCTGTTTCTAACTCCCATGCAGAGATGATCAACCAGCTGTAAGCTTGGCTTCCTTTGCTAGTTGGTAGCAAGGAATCTGATCAGGCATGAGTGCAGGTAGAATTAACCCAGTTGGCAGTGCAGCAGAAAAAAGGACAAAGAACTTCCACAAATTTTGCCCTTGACAGTTCCCTGCATTACACAACCCATGAAATCTGCCTATACTACTACTGCTGAAATAGATTTATAATTACTATTCCAAACTTACCATATTTTGAAAGGCAGAATAACTGTGATGTGGACTATCATTCATCTGAAAAGGACTAACAGTGAATGGAGCACCACTGTAAGGGTCTATATTCCTGCAAAAATCAAGGATGGGCATATGTGAATGGATGCTCATAAACTTATCCATCTAATCAACAAATCCTATTAGATGCGATCTGGGCTCTTTTAGGACACCTGTATACATGTCTACTTATTAGTAAGGCCCAAGGAGTTCACTGGGTTTTATTTTGAGAAGAGAGTGCATAGACTTGTAGCTTTACTATCTCTTCTCATCTGAATCAATAAGAAATTCAACAAAATAAAAGCAAGCTGAAGTTAGCAAAAATGCTAGTTTATGGAATGGAGCAGCTCAGCAGAGATCACAGACAGGTGCTTTGTTCACCTGTCCAGATTCAGAAACTAAATTTTTCCCTTCTTTCTAGCATTAGTTTAGAAGTGCCAAAAATCCTATTGTGCAAGTATTGGGTTCTGTGGGTACAAGAGAACTGCAGAGGCAGGGTGACCCTGTTGGACACCATTGACTGTAAAACTTGCTTCCAGTAAACATGCATACATAGGACTGGGCAGAAATCAAAGATGAAGTTTTCAGCATTAGTTCAGAGAGGGAAGGATGCTGTGTGTATTAGGAGTTACAATTAATTATCTTTATTTTTAAAGCTCATGACAATTGCCATATTTATAGGCACATGCAAGAAACAAACCATTTTATATAACCAGGACTGGAAGATCAATTTTATTCTAATTTAAGCATAAGGCTGGACAAACTTACCTGGAGGTAAGTCCCACTGAGCTCAGTGGGATTACTTCCAATTACATAGGGTTAAATTTTTCCTGTCCATTCTGTTCATGCAATCTTGTGCTCACATGAGAGTAAATCCACATCAACTACCCCAAAACACACACTACCAGCATCCTCAAATAAAGTGTATGCCAGGGAGCCAACTGGGTGACTTTGGGCCAATCACACTCTCAGTCTAACCTACCTCACAGGGTTGTTGTGGGGAGAAAATTGAAAGCAGGAGGAGAAGATTGATATAAGCTGCTCTGAGTTCATAAGAAGTGAGATACAAATCTAATAAATAAATACGGTCTATTCCCTATATGGCCCAACAGTATTCATTGCCTCAGAATTCCCAACAATATTGGAAGACTTGGCTGGATCTACAAGGTCAACCAAGCCAACAATATATATTTATGAAAGACTCTTAACAGACAGCCATCTTGACATCCAGACACTCAGAAAAGAGTGAGAAATTAGAATGCCACATCCAACCACACCAGTGGGAAATGGCTACATTCTCTATACAATCCATGGAAATCCACGAGCTGAAAGTGCACCTTATACAGCAAAAGCTGCTCTTTTGGGCATATATGACTCTACAGCACCTGTTTCAGAAAAACACGATTACCCTCTAATAAATGTTGGTGATGTACGATGGCATCATTCATGGTGGCCCCCTTCTGGGCAAATTGTTAAACAAATCAACTTTGTCCTAAATATGTCATTTGTGTTTAAATATGTCAATGTATTGCTGAATTACATTCCCCCATCCTGGAAGTTATTCCCTGGCCAATGCAGCTGGACTATACGAATCCTCATGGTGCCTCAGAGATTCAAACTATGGAGATGGAATGACAGATCATCTCCTCCAACCATGCAATGAACTGACGACCTTGCAACACCGCCATCCTATGAGAGAATATACCACCAATGACAACTTTGTCTCAATACCCATTCTGACATTTGGTCAACATACCTCAGCCTCTATTATGGATGTGGAACAGGAACTTTAGATATTTATGTACATACATTTGAATATACATGTATATATATCTATTACTAATAATACTTTCAAGACCAGTGTGCCTCTGTGTGGCTATATGTTGTGTTTTGGTACAAATAAAAATTATTAATATAGTGAGATATTTCCAAGTAAAAAAGTGTAAGATCATTGTAGAGGGTTTCTCCCAACTGTAAAAGCCTCTTTCTATATTGCACTAGAACACCTGTTGATCAGGAAAATCAATAAAACCCTTCACTGCATATATACCAGCTGACAACATTTAATAGGAAACTTCACAGCAGAGTTTAGTTCTTGAAGTATTTACACTGGAAAAAATGCTAAACCGTAAATCCTATGCAAACCCAACAGAATATGTTGCACTGAAATCAATGGGTTTTACTTCTGAGTAGATTTGCTTAGGACTGCACAGCAGGTGTTTCTACTACCTGTATACTGATGATTGTCCATCATTTTCCATATTCTTGCAAGGGTTGCTTAACTCAGGACAGTGTGAACTTCCTGTAAATGGAATAAAAAACAATTTGTGATTAAAGATTTTCATTAAAATGGTCATAAGAACACTTCAGTTTTTGTCTGAAAGATTCATTAGTTACAGCATCTCTGCAGTTTACAGTGTCTCTTAAACACCAGTTAAAGAAAAACAATTTAAAAGAAAGAGCAGAACCTGTCCAAGCCACCATTTCTACCCACCTCTGAAAATCGAAAAATAGTTCCAAATTGCTCTCAGATTCATGTAGAAGTACCACCCCACTCACAGACTATATTGCTTTCTTGGTTCATACTATTTAGTGCTTGGTAAAAGTATCTACCACAGCAAACCTTAGAAGTAATTTCTTTAGTGACCTCAGAGAACAAGGGTGCAATCACTTGTTTAGACAGAGAAGAGTCCAGAAAATGCCCCAGCCACCCTAAAAAAAAGGGGGGGGGAATCCAAGAACCATGAAGTTGCTCCTGCTTTTTCCTCAAACCACTGTGCCGTGTAACAGATAACAAAATACTTTTGAAAATAAGCAGTTTCAAAAGCAGTTTGTGATTTACAACCAGTGGTCAGACAAAGAACAAATGTAAATACTTTAAAATTTCCTTGGCTAAAACGTGAGACCCTTATTTGAGCCCAAGCAGTTTTTTGAATCCTTCCCAAGGTGCGCCTTTGGGTCATTATTGACCTATTACAGTTTGCAAATGTGAATGAGAATACATATTCATTGAAAATTAATTCGCACTCTCTCACACACACACACACTTTGTGGTGATAACTTTTCCTTTTACCAGGTTTTATAGGAAATAAGAAAAAAAGTTATCTTGGAAAATGGACCAGAATGGTAATTTTGAAGGAAAGTTTCTCAATTTCTATCTAACTTGCTAATATCTATCTACAAGCATGAAAAAGGGAACGGGAAAGTTTGGGCAAAGACATTTAAATGTGTATTATTTCCTGAAAATCTGAAGAAGAGTAACTCAAAGGACTATCAGCTTCAAGGGCTCTTATTCCAGTATAATACTCTGCTAAGTATGGGAAACAAAGCAAAAATTTTATCATAGAAGTCTTTCTTGTACAGACTCTTGCTTTGATTCACAGATATTCTTCTGGAAATCAAGAACATGTGTGTTCACCAAACAATTTTGTTTACTGTGATAGAATCTCTTGCTAACTTGTAAGCATGCGAATCCTTATAGGTCACAAGTACTCATCAGTGGATTACAAAAGAAAAAAGAAACCTTATGCACTCAGTATTTTTCACGATATACTCAGTATCAATGCACTAGTCTAGACATAGTATACTCTACTCTCCCTCAATAGCAACCATCTCTTTCTGTTTAGCTACAGACTTTGATGCACCACTTCTCATGGTTTTCCATAATACAGCAATCTATAAAGAATTATTTTTTTGGTAAATAATTATTGGTAGGCAGCTAAACCTACCAAACCGATATTGCACTTTAATTGGTCTTCCATATAAACGAATTCCATTCAGCAAAGCCATGGCGTAAGGCACTGACTCTGTGTGTTTAAAGCAGACAAATCCAAAAGTCTTGGGTTTTCCGTCTTTGTCCTTGCATATGGTCACTTTGGTCACTGGTCCAGCCTGCAAGAAACTTGCACATTACTTTCTCATAAAACCCAGGAAGGAAACAGCTTTTTAATTTGCCATTTCTAAGACTCACTGGCCCAGCACATAAAAAGATATACAGTGATGGGTAGAAACCATTATGGTATTCCCAGCATCAAACACCTGACCTCATTCTCCCAGTGTAGTGGTTTTACTTAAATATACAGAGGATATGTACTGCCAATTGCATGGCTGTTTCCCAACCTGCATAATTATCTCGTATTGTATCATTTTTTTGGCTTATAAGCTTAATTTATGTGAATTTAGGCAACTAGTTAAATACTTTTAAGATATTTTTCTTTGCAGAATTAAGATCAGCTCCTATATATATTTCTGTCTAAATGTTCCATTATACAAGCACAAGTTGGAGTTGTAGAATACCAGAATTATGAAAAACATGAAGTGCTTATTCTGGCTTATTCCACCATTTACAGATAATATCAAACTTTTTGCTCTGAAATACAGCCATGGAATGCTTAGAAATCAAGGGGCAGGTCCCGTAACATGATAACATCATGCAGTGCAGTCACAAACTACTCCAAGTGAGGAATAACAAATATGATGCCTTGTGTACAGAAGCTAAAAGAAGAAGGATAAGTAGATGCTTAAAGACCGTATCAGGCTCCATTCAGGGCTCAGGAATGCCTTTCATGGCCTTGGTTATCAGTTAGTTGCCTATTGAGTCCTATGGGTTGGGAACAGTATACAGAAGGTAGTGTGCGAACTAGCAGTGATGGGAAGAGGAAGAAAGAAGATGCCCTTTGATTGCCTGAAGGAAGGTAAATAAAATATTCCTTCTTTCAGTTCCCTTGTATCCTTTTTTGTTGCGAGATGATTGATAGTTCAATATCTATTCCAGTTTAAAAGATAACAGAACATAAAACTGTACCTTTGGCATCAACTAATCCTAACAGCTTCAGCCAGTAATTTGTGAGCTGGTTAAAAAAAGACTAAAATGGAAGTGTACTGCTTTCTGAATGAATCAATAGCAGATTCTTACTTGCCTGATGATGAAACTAGAAGTGGACTACAATTACAAAAGACTGCTCACAGAAAGGAACTAGATAACTTTGATGCTTTGAAACCCAATAAATACACCTGGTGCTCAATGTTATGGTGTTCTATGCTTCTGAGTGTTTTTAAAAAGAAATGACATCTCTAACAAATAATAACTTATTCCCCAGCATTTCCAAATAAAACCATCATTTGCTTTATTGTTCTCCCTTGTTTTCAGAGAAGTAAAATAGACTCCATCTTTCCATTCAGGGTTGCCTACTGAAGATGATGAGTTCTTCAAGGACAGGAAGTGTCAAATCAAGCATTCTGGTGTGTATTCTTTTAAACATGCTGATCTCCCTGTTCATAAATAAATACAGAAAAAAAGACATGCTGAAGCAAGCTACATAGACAGCTACCTTAAAATGTAAGTGATCACATGTACAGTTTTTTCTCTCTTACCAGCTACAAGGTGATAGTCCTGGATTGTAAAAAATATATATTTTTAACAATTTAATTCTCAGAAGGACTTTTAATATAGAAAGAAGGTAGACAAGATTCATAGTTTGTCCAACTGGAAAACTCCTTATCAAAAATAAAATTCAACAAAAGTGATAAAAAGATGAGGATTTAAATGAGCCAAACAGATGACTAAGTTGGATGGAAAGGTACCCTATCATTTCAACTTATTGTTTGGGAATGTTGTATTAGAATAGAATGGAGGATCTTCATATCACGGATTATTTGTCCTGCTATACCAATGATCTAAATGTTGCTATTTCACAAGACAATAGATGCCACATAAGTAGTCATGTGAAGCAAAGAACCAAGGATGTGAAGGGTAACAAAGTAGACAGGGCAAGAGAAAATATTCCAGCAATAATGCTTGGTAGGGAAGGGAAAATCTAAGCCAAAAAACCCAAACAAGATTTAATACTTGGTCCAAAGTGGAAATATAAGAAAGTCATGAACCTCTGCCATTTATTCCTTGATTATGGTTAAATGAGGAGTAATACATTTAACAAGTCTTTGACAAGAACTCTTTTAAACTCACAAGATGAAACACAATAAGGTTGGTGCTTTAGGTGCTCTTTTTGAAAATGGAAAGCAGAGGAACAGGAGTGCTTTCCACCAAGCAATGAGACTGAAAGATAGTAGGTGTATACTGGCTCTTTGACAATTGGAAATAATCAGGCCCTGTCCATTTCACTTGAGAGCTTAGTCATTCCATTGCTTTCAGGTGTTATTAGAGAACATTAGGTAACACAGGGATCTTGCAGCTGCAGGCCAGTGAAATGTTCAGCAGGTGAAATATTTCACACAACTGTATGTTTCTGCCCTAAAATGCTGCATCTGTTGAATTTTTGTTGGGTACGCAAATTGTACACAGGAACCCTGCAAAAAGAAGGGCTTTTCCACTTTTCAATTCTATTTATGTATTTGTTGTTTTTAGTCTGTATCACTTTTATTTGGTTGACTATTTACCAGAAAGGTATTATTTTCCATATAAAATACACATGGAAAATTCTGGACACATCCAGCATTCTGCAACTATTTTATCTTACTTTTTTATCTCCATATAGTGACAGAAAATGGTGCCAATTTCATTTTAACAAATCCCACGGTATAAAGTAGTGTTATGCTATTGCAGCCAAACCTGACAGTCTTGAGACAATTTAAACAATTCAGGGCGGTATTAGCTTTCATAAGTTACCGGAGACCATGACTGTATTCAAATGCAAGGGCAGAATCTTATGCATGTTTAAAAAAAAAATCCAGCAACTCACAATATGCCCCAGTCAGGGCTTCTTCTGCCTAAAATGCATAGGATTGGAGCCTAAGGATGAAATAAAACTCCTGCTTGCGTTTGATCCAAAAAGGGTATCCCGCAGTTTGGAACCATGCCCTGGCCCAAGTAGCTCCCCTGCCTCCACCCGTCTACCATTTACTGGGAATCCCCAGTGCTACCATTTACTGGGGATCCCTATATTGGCCTTTCCCGGCCCGGTACTCTCCAGTTGTGCTGGACTACAAGTCTCCCACCATCTCCAGATAGCAGGGATGCTGCGAGTGGCGATCCAACACACCTGAAAAGCAGCAGGTCGCCAGCTCATGGAGGCCTTCCCCGCCGCCCTTTGCTGCTTAGCCCCGCCCACCCCCAGCTCGCCCCGCCCACTTCGCCCCCGCCCCGCCCCGCCATCGCCTGCACCTGCAGGAAAAGCTCATAAAGAATCTCCTCTTGCACGCGGCTCTCCAAGTTCCCCACGAAAAGGGTCCGGTCGGGCTCTCCGGAGGTGGCCATGAGAAGCCGCGCAGCCCGGTTGTGCGCAGCAGACGGTCAGCGCGCGAGCTCCATCCGTGCTCAAACGGGGAGGAGGCGGAGGGAGAACGGGGAGGGGCGGCCGGCCGGCCGGCCAGCCAGTGAGCCAGCGCACTGGGGATAGCGTCGAGAGGCCGTAAAGCACGCGGCGCGTGCGCGCAACACGGGCAGAGCCGCAAAGAGCAGGGCGTGGTGGCCGCGCGTCTATCTGCAGGTAGAGTTCTGGTTCACGTGGCGTTCCGCACAGGCTTGGCCGCGTCATGTTGTTGCTGCAAGGGCAGGCGCAAGACGGACCTGCGCTTCACTATGGCATAAGCCAGCCTTGCCGTTGTGTTGGATTACAGCACCCATCAGCCTCAGCCAACATGGCAAGCAGTTCAATATAATGGAAGTTTCCAAAATAGCTGGGGGGCGGGGGTGGATTGGGGACGGCTGGAAGACGCTTCGTAGACCAGAGGCCGCCTCATCCGATGCATGAAGTCGGGGGGAAATGAAATGCAGAAAGTATCCGGCATTGATAATGCTACGTTTTTAATAGTGTCCATTAAAGAAAGTTGTCTCCAATACCACACCTATTTGTATATGGGATCTTACATCATTGTTTCTGCAATAACAGCGGACTAAAGGATAGTTCCCTTTGAGAAAGAAGGTTTACAAAGTCTCCTTGAACTGGATGATAAGGCAAACAGCATTTTTGAGGCAGGCAAAGACAGTAAAATTTCCCAAGGACAGACTGTTTCAAAAACGTGTATGTGGCAGAATGAGGAACACAATGTAGTTGCTAGAGATTGTGGTGCAACGTGTAATTTAAAATGGTGCTCTCTCTGCCTGATAGAATTTTTCATAGAACTTGATTTGTATTGGTGGGTGCACACTTCCTAATCTTCTATATATATTTTTTGCCTACATGTACACTGGCAGAGGTGGGTGGAAGTTTGGTTTGAAATCTTTCCTTTGCACATGGTCGATCTGTCTGGCTATTTTAAATAAAGAAATCTTTGGTTTTTCATCTCAGTCCTGGTGTGAACTTAAATTTCTCCATCACCCTTCATCATCCAACAAGCTTCATTTCAGAATGGCAGAAAGTAATGCCCAAGGCAGCCATTCTGAACTTGTCAAATGGAGCTCAATAGAGTAGGGTTCTCAGTCTACTTACACTGGAAACCCTTTCTTTGATTGGTTTCATTGCATTGCCCATCATGTGCTGTATCCTCTCTGAGTTACCCTGGATATCCTTGAGCCCCCCCCCCCCCAGCAACCCCACTTTTCTCTCTACACCTAATTTCACATACTTTCCCCCTAAAATTTCAATTTTATTATTCTACTCCCAGAAAACCTTGATCATAGCTGCAGTTGAAATGTTCGTAAACCTCACATGTAGTTAGGAGGAAGAATACATTTGTAAGGTATGAAAGGGGATTATATTTTTATTTAAGCAAACATGTTTAATATGTAAATTCAAGCAGCACTTTTTCAGCTTGGTTTATGATTTCTGAGTTGAAGACATCAAAAATAGGATTATCTCCATATATGTCTTAAACATAACTTTAAAATGTTGCAGGAGTTGCAACTATTCCACTGTCAAATTAATTTCAGTGGTATTGTGTGTTGAGATTTAGAAAAGAGAACTGGAAAATTCCTGATCTTTGACTGCCATCATGTGGTATATCCTGATATTGTAAGAAGACTTCATTTTGTTAGAGCAGTAGGATACTGGGACCAATGACTTAGGGAGGTTGTGAGCTCTCACTAGAGGCTATCAAGATGCAACTGGACAGACATCTGAGAGGGATGGTTTAACTGGAAGCCCTGTGCTGAGCAGGGGGTTGGATTCAATGGCCTGGCCTCTTCCAGCCCTACTATTCTGTGATAGGTTTTAAGTACTTCGGTATTAGTACTTCTAGGAATACTTCAATATCAGTAAAGTTATCTTTAATCACTTGTGTAAATGATTTAAGCTAAAATAGATTCTCATTTAATTAAGTTTAGTACAAGTTGCTTCCAGTAATTTAATTGCCTGCTGGAAGAAGTTCCATCAGTACAATTATGTACCTTAAATGTTTTTCTTGATTATAAGCTAAGGGAACCTTCATGAAACTGGTACCCTTCAAATGAAAATAAGAATCATTTTGGATCAGACCAAGGGTCTATCTACTGTATATACCAAGATATAAGATAATCCTTGAAACAAAAAATAGCAAAATTGGGAATTGTCTTATATGCCTGATGTATATAAATGCACCAAAATATTAACCACATCTTTGATGCAAATTGTATATGTGGTAGTCCAGCTTTCTGTTCACACATTGGCCAACCAGCTGCCCACAGAAAACTCACAAGCAGATTATGAGTGCACCAGCTGATTTATTTATTTATTTATTTAACACATTTCTATGCCGCCCCATTCGCCGAAGCCTCGGGGCGGCTCACAACATAAAATTAAAATATAATTCAAAATATTTTATATTGTTAATTTGTTTTATATTTTATATATATCTGGTCGCCCTGGCCAGATAAAATAAGCAAATAATATTAACAATTAAAATGATGTTTAAATAAAAAGGTCTTCGCCTGGCGTCGAAAAACAAATAACGACGGTGCCAGGTGGACCTCTTCTTCAGCAAGTCATATCCATAGGGATGCTGCTTCTGATGCTGGAGGTGACATGGCCATCAGGAGTAGTTACTATTGATATGCTTTGAACTTCAGCACCAGAAGGCTTGGCCAATGGTGAGGAATGCTGAGACTTTTGATTCAAAACATCTGGATATCACCAGGTTATGGAATGATGAGATAAGGCATCTTGCTAATGCATATGTTGATTTTTTTACAGATTCATTCTATAAGGGCAAAGTGTTCACAAATTTCTCCAATTTAAAAGAAATGGCCATCTTTCTCTACAACAACCTGTAGCTTAGTCAGAGGAACCAAGTTAATAGTGGGACATGTAGGATCATAAGAAGAGCCATGTTCAAGTAAACCAAAGGTCCATCTTGCTCAACATTTGGTCCACACTACAGCCAACCGAGTGCTTATGGAAAGCCCCCACAAGCAAGAAATGAACACAATATTCTCCAACGACTGGTATTGAGAGACATACCTTTCCATTACAGGAGACAATATATAGTCATTGGTAGGCTTATGTGGCATTAATTTGCCTAATCCTTTTTTAAGGAATGTCCTGCCCAAGGGAAGAGTGGATTAGTTAGAAGTGTGTTGCTAACCAAGTGGCCATATGGTTCAGCATTAGTTTGGTGTGCAAACTAATGTGTTCAAACCAAATTGTTTTCAAAGGGAGCTGAAAAGTCAGGCAGCTTGATTATACCAGCACTTGCATTGGTTCAAAGAACTCTGAATCCTGTTCCTATTTCAAGATAGTACGTTTTGGTCTATGACACAGCTTAGCTGTTTATTATGCAGACTGTCTGGCATATTTTCTGGTCACAGTCCTTTCCCATTGTTTTGCTGTCGGACTGTAGTCCTGTTCCAACATGGATCAAATTCTCAGACCTACTCATGTGTTGGACTTCATAACTGATTATGTAAAATCCCAGACACTTGGTTTAACTTAAGAATCCCATAAAGATGCAAGCATGAAGTTTGCACTTTATGCCCAGCTAAGGCAAGTACCTTCTGCTTCTTAGCCAGAGTTTGAAGTACCTTATTCTCTTACATATTGCACTGTCCTCTGGTTCTGACTTCCTTAGATAAATCCATTTGCTATTTTTAATATTATAACTTTTGTTTTGACCATCCCTGCCTACCTCTCACTCTCTCTGTGCTGTGCGTTCCTGATAATGAAAGATTGGGACAAGGTAACTGTCCCTATTACACTAACAGGACAACCAAACAGGCCTGAACACGCTTAGTGGTGGAAAGTGGTAACTGTGTGTTTTGGTTGATTCTTGAGTGCCTTCAGGGAAGGGTGTATGGACCCTAGTAAACACCCCTGCTTGGGTCTCTTAATTCTCTTTTAACATTCATAGGTCTCTGTTTGTGTGCCTCAGTGCATGGGCATAAAAGAAATACATGCGGCACACAACAGCAATCCATTTGCTATGCATAAAGAGTTATGAAATTTCACAAATGATGTCTGTGTTTCTACAGAAACAATGTATGCTGTCAGACTTCCAAGCCGGTTGTAGTGGTTTTACTTAATGGATGTACTTTGCTGTCACAGGTTTGCTCTGATATGAGGCAATGTATCTTGAAATAATTCTTATTTGTGTATAAAAATTATACCCCAATTTTATAGTGTGCATCCTTTATTGTTTTTTAGAAATTAGCATCTACCCAGTAAAAGATGTAATTAAACTTGCATAAAAACAACATTATTTTGTAGTATTTCATCAATTGAGTTCCCACTCTGCCATTAGTCATAAAGACTTGGTTCCCTGAAGCCACTGGTGGTAGTTTGAGTCAGCAGCTGATAATTCACTGTTTTAAAGGAAATACATTCTTTCAAGTGCAGGAACTTCCTTTAAAATGTATGTTATCTCTTAAAACTTACATTTCCCAGCTAGCATGGCTGCCTTAGGAATACTTAGACCTGTAGGCTTTCATTTTCTGCCTAAACCTGCACAGGATTTCCCAGAGACACAGTTCTGTGTGTGTTTAAGACAAAAAAAAAAAGTCCTACAACTCTGAAGCATATTCTAGCCAGAACTGTTTGCTCTATAATGTTCAGTGGTTCAGTAGGCTTTCAAAGAAATCAGGTAAAAGGGTTTCTCTGTTTTCTTCTTTTTTTACTCCTTCTAAGTCTAAAAGGCAAAATATGCAAAATAACCCTTTCCTCTCTCAGTCAATGCTTATTGTATTAAGCCCTGTAAACCAGGTTCTAGTGTGTCAGAGAAGTTAATGTGATTTCGAAGAAACAGCTATTCCGAGGAAACTGAAACTGCCTTGCCTTGCCTATTTAAGCTAGCAAGGAGGGGCCAGGAATTGCAAAAGCGTACTGTTCTACTGTGCACTTCCTACTATGCACCACACCTTTTTTATCTGTGACGCTTAACAGAGAAATAAAAGCCAGCATGAAAGAAGGAAACCTCTCTGATGTGGATGTTTCACGCTGCTTTGCAAGCATTATCAATGGTGGGGTTGTGTTTCTTCCTCTTCTTCGCCGCATGTTGTATAAGCACAGGTAAGCCAGCCATTTGAAAGTTTCTCCTGCTATTTGCTTTTAAATAGGGAAGGGAAGGTAGCAAGTATGTCAAACGCTTGAAACCAACTGGAGTCATGACTGTCAGTGCTAGCCTCATGAGTGGGTCTCTTTCGAAACTCGTACAAAGATCTTTTTCATTAACGCAGGTTCACTTTTATTGTTGGTACTCGGTACAAAATATCTGCCTGAAGTGAAATCTGGGAAAACTCCCTCTTTTACTGAGATGTAATCGAGTAGCTACAGTGTACTGGCTCAATGTCATGCATACAGTAGGTTGGTTCCCTGGTGCCTCCGGGTAACAGGTTTTACTTGAGAAAGGCAGGGAATAATTGCATGGCTGGATGGACCAATGGTCTGATTTGGAATCAAGTGACTTCCTAGGTTCGTATGACTTTAAAAATATGCCTGATTTGAGAAACGCTTAATCAAAATACTTTGGACTGAATGTAATGGAACTTACTCTCAAGAAAGTGTACATAAAACTGAAGCAGCCTAAGCATGTTACAGACACACCAACTAGTAATGATTTACTTCTCTCATGAACCATTCGGCCAAATAATAAATTATGTTTATAAAATGCTTCTTGCTGACTTAGAAACACAGCTAACTGAGACCACTGTGGGTGGGTGTTTGTTTGGTGTTGACTGATATATTTAGTGGAAAGATGTTATGCTAACCTTTTAAATTTGTCTGTATCCAAATAGGTTACATAGTAAGTATTTTCAGACTAGAGGATGATTTTTGATGCTACAAGGATATTTTATGACAGGAAGGGAGAAGAGACAAGGCTGAAGCCAAGCTCTCTAGTGAAAACAGCCATTCATACTAGAAAAAATACACACTTTGTACCAAAACCGACAAGCAGAGCGTAGGCATGGAAGAAGTTTACTTCTCAGCAACAGGGCTGTGTGACAACTTGTCTGAAGGTCATTAACTGTAAGCACACTTGTTAGATACAAAGGTGGGAGAATAGAAAAGTATTTCATGATGATAAAAACCATGGAAATATTTTGAAAATATCTCTAATCCAAATGAAAACATAGATAGTATATATTATAATCGTAACAGATGGGGGGGGTGTTTGGACCCAGACCAATTTCTCACTGGTTCAAAAAATTTCTTGGACCTTAAATGACCTTGGGAAGTAACTAGTTCTGACTATAAGCTACTTAAAAGGTTTGCCATGAATAAGATCATGATAATCTCATATAGGCTTCCTTGGGTGACTTGCAAAAAAGTAAAAATAAAATGTGCTCCCGCGCTCGCTCGCTCGCTCGCTCTCTCTCTCTCTCTCTCTCTCTGTGTGTGTGTGTGTGTGTGTGTGTGTGTTTAAACAGCCTAACTGACCAAGGCTTCCTTTTCTTTTTTCATTTTTCAGCTGTAGGACAAGAATGCCCTACATTTACTAACCTTACTGTGGCAGATTCAGTAATTGGTACAAATCTGAAAGTGCAACTGCTTTTGTACACGAGAAGAAACAAAGACTGTGCTGAGAAGCTCCATGAATTCAATCTAACTTCTACACATCTAGATTTGACCAAGAAAGTGATCATGGTTATCCACGGTTACAGATTTACAGGTTCTCCTCCAGTATGGATTTATGAAATTAAAGATCAACTTCTTGAAAAAGGAGACATCAACGTCATAATAGTAGACTGGAATCGGGGGGCCACAACCATAATTTATTCTAATGCTGTTTACAATGCTAAGAATGTAGTAGAAATCTTGAAGAACTTTATTGACCAAATGTTGGTAAGGAAATGAAGTGCATCATAGATATTAGACACCATAGCAGCATTCACATTGCCCAGCCTAACACAGTTTTCCTTTCTTATACTGATGACATTAGCTTGGTTCATTCTTGGGAAATGTACACAGCCTGAAGGTATAACGGGATGTGTGATATCCAGTCTGTCACCTTCAATATTTGCACTGTATTGGTCTGTATGCATGTGAAGTGTGTCAGTGATGGGAGTCCATGGCCAATCATATCTTTTCAGGTCATGCTTACAAAGGATCAGGTCCTGATCCTCTCATAATTTTCATACAATTTTCTACATGCAATTTATTTCTGTATAGAAAAAGGGAAATGGGTGAAACATTTCTAAGAGGTAGTGCACACAAACTACAAATGTCAACTGATGGCCCCATTATGTTTAATTATGCAGTGATTTCACACTTCTGGTAACTCTTCTCCTGATATATCTGTCATGTGCAATTTGGATAGGTTTGCAATAGCAGGAAAACAGTCTAATCAGAAACGGCTGTAACTTTGCATATGCTTTGTGTACAGAAGGTCCCAGATTAAGTCTCTGACCTCTTCAGGTAAGGCATGAAAGACATCTGTTCAGCCTATACTTTCTTGATGTATTACACATCAAGTCACATTTCCCACCACATATTTTCCCGTATAGATGACATTCTGTGCATGCACAGTCAGTATTTAGAAGGACAGATGTTTAAAGCCAGTTGCATCATAAGTACAAGTGTAAAAGTTATTTGAATGTTAAAATTCCTTACTCTCACTGAAACTCTTGTGGATTACACATGATTCTGTGAACTAGAAACCCAGGTACATTGTAGCATGCACAGAACTTCTGTTAAGCCCTTTTTCCTGCTGAATTGATTTCATTGATTTTTGTGGCTATGTGGCCAGATCATCCGACAAACAGCCTTTTGTTCACTATTAAGGTTAATGTTCTCAATTTGTTTCTTGCAAATTATGGGGCAGTTGTTCCCAATCTAAACCCCTGTCTTGTTCCTTTGTATGTTCACTGGGATGGAGATGAGGGCTGCCAGTTGGTGCTGGCAATTGCCATTCCTAGAGGGCTGTGGCATGTGATTAGCATTCCCATGACAGCACAAGCCAGGAGAGCACTCTAAGAAAGTAAATGTGTGTGCGCTTTCTGAACAAGTTGGAGGAATAAATCTCTGATTAAACCATGTTTACCTGATTTTACGAAATCATCTGCAGTTCACATTTTCTTCACCTTCTATCCCTGTGTATTTACTGACAGGCAAATGGACTTTCACTCGACTCCATTTACATGATTGGAGTGAGCCTTGGGGCTCATATAGCTGGATTTGTTGGAAAAGCATACCATGGCAAAATTGGCAGAATTACAGGTAAGACTTACAAAATGGGAGCCATTCCCAGGCCCATGCCATGCACAGAACCTGCTCTGATTGGCTACTAGACTGGCAGTGGGGCAGCCTTCTCTATCTTTCGTAATCAAGCCAGCTTGAAGGGGACATGAGCAGGCTGTGCGGCGCACACAATTCTGTCTTCCACTGCTTTGCTACCTCTCTCTAAGTAGCCTAAGTAGTGGCATGTCTTGGCCTAGCACGGTCTGCTTCTGCTTATTAGTTTTTAAACTACCAACCTTACTAAATATGTTTATTTTTTCATGTCAGGGCTTGACCCAGCAGGGCCATCATTTACTGGGAAGTCCCCCAGTGAAAGACTGGATCACACTGATGCCCAGTTTGTAGATGTTATTCATTCGGATATTGATGGTAATTATTACACAGTTTTGGATTTCCAGCTATGGCAAGCTTAAATCTGGAAGGTGAATGCTACTTCCAGTGTGCTGAAAGGCTTGACCACATCCTGTGTGATTTTTTTTCTTAACTTCAGATTGCAAGTTCTGCTGCTGCACCCAAAAATATGTTTCTGAAATTATCGAACTTTTCAATAGCTCAGAATCTGTTAATTCAGGAAGATTTTTCTCATGTTCTTCTAATCCTAGCTAGTGATGACATTTGCAAGACTTTGTGCTTGTCTTAGAAAAGGGCCATCAGTTATCGCGAAGGAGACAGTATCAGTCCTGTTCAGCTGTTGTATCCTGCCTAGCCGTCACTGCTAAAACACCCATATATTCTGTCCAAAATATTGTTCATATAGCTATCATCCCTTTGGCAATTTGGCTTCATGTAACTGAAGACTGTGAGTATCTGAATTTGCAAAAACATGCTCCCCAGTCCCCTGTGCATCCATGAATTACATTTTGATAACAAAAGTGCTTCACTTTTTGATGCCTTTGCGGGAATGTAAGTTCTAGCTCTTTTCTGTTTTCTTCTTTTTCTTTGTTTTCTTTTCTGACTCAATCTCTTCATTCTTATTTACTTATTTAGCAATATTATGAATCATTTAGCTCAAGGACATTTCTAAGTAATATATAGGCAAGAGTACCTTTCTGGAAATGTCTTTTAGAAAAGGTATGTTTTTAGTAGACACCAAAAACAAAATCAGAAGAGTTGGCAGCTGCCTTAATCATAGTGATTGAGAATGGGTGCTATGACTTCAAAAGTCTTCCGAATCACAATGCACTAAACCTCCAAAACCTTGGGTACCATCTTTTCTGTCTTTCATTTTTTAAAACATCCTGGCAAATATGCAAATGGGAAAACAGAAGAAGTGCTTGAATATTTTGGATTAGCTTTTTGTGCTTGCTATGCATTATCACATTTATTCTGAAATTCCTTCTGTATTTTCCTTCATTCATGTATTTTTTTTAAGCTTTTGGTTATAGAAAGCCCTTGGGAAACATTGATTTCTACCCTAATGGAGGAAAAGATCAACCTGGATGTCCCAAAACAATATTAAGTGGTAAATGCAGATAAGTTACTTATAAAGGATGTGAAGATCAGGAAGGGCCTGACCTGGAGTCAGCGGGTCTTTCATTGATGGGCAGGGTGGGTGGGTGGGTGAAAATTATTCTGATTCTCTGAATAGCATTAGCAAAGCGGGGTGACTTGACATGGTGAGATAATTTAGTTCTTCTGGCAGGATGTGAAAATATCCCGACTGATATTCTTTACATGCATGTTTGATGGTGTCATTCCCACTTTTGAAGTTAAAGGGAAGAGCACCAGTGCTGGAGCTTTCCTATGTAAATCCTGCCGGACTATCTCAAAGGCTGTTGTCAGTTCTAACTGAGGCTGCCACTTATGGAAAGAAAAGATAAATACTACTATTCTTTTCTATGCCTTGTCCAGTAATTGGAAAATGAAGCTAGTAGTATTTTGAAGCTGGGTAAAAAGTTTCATTTTTAGAATCATAAAGTGATTGCCAAAAATGCCATATAGACTTTATCATGTCACATTTACAATAACATCTGTAAAATAACTACATCTAGATACATGTTAAGTGTTCCACAGAGAAATTTCTCAGCTGGGACTCTCCATGAGGCATGTTTAACATGTCTAATACCAATGTTCAGTGCATGGTACTAAAATGTTTGCCAGACAGCGTTTTTAGCAGATCTGCTTTCTCAATAGTTTACAAGCCTTATTTGCTTAGATAAAAACCAGTCTCAGTCCGAAAACCAAAGAAACTACATTATATTTCCATAAAAGGGAAGTATGTATCTACTTGGAATTGATTTCTTGCTCTATTAATATTACCATTTTTATAACAGTTATGTAACATTGCATTCTTTCTTTGTGTCTCAAAGGGACTCAGTATTTCAAATGTGACCATCAGAGATCTGTTTTTTTGTACATGGCATCCTTGAAACACAATTGTCATATATATGCATACCCTTGTGATTCATATGAGGATTTTACAAATGGAAAATGTGTGAGCTGTGAAGCTTTCCACCCACTTCCATGCCCGATACTGGGTAAGAATTAAGCATTATCTCACAAGTGGAAATGGTATGTTAGGATAGTTTCAAACAGCTGTGTTATACTGGAGATACTCTTATGCACTTCCTGCTACCCTGAAGCAGTAAGAAAAAAGAAGAGGGGACAGTGGGAAAAAGACAAGAGGGTTATGCGTCAAAGACTACAACTTTTGAACCTTCTGTAAGATATTTTGAATGACTCAGGGTTGGTACCGGAAAAGCATCATCTGGAGGCACCCACTATTTACCAACCATTGTGGACCAGATCTTTGTATAAAAAGAAAGGTTGCTTGGTCGCTATCACAATACTTTTCAGGTGCCACATACACTTGGACTGCCTTATGTTAGTCCTGTGTTAGAAATTCCATTGCCAAAGGAAGCAGTTGTTATAAGAGGTATAACAATTTGTATAGAAAGTAGTTCTCTCCATCATTGTTGTGCATCTTCAAAAGTACTCTTTAGAGATACACAACCGTAATTGTGTGTCCTAGAAAAAGTAACAAAATGTTAGGTACTTTCAAGAAGCATTTATTTAATCAAAATGTATAGACTGCTTGATCTGAACTAAAAAGAGATTTTAATGTAGTTTTCAACATACAAATTTAAAATACTTAACATACACAGATAAAACATTCAAAACAGAAAATGAAAACAAGCTCAGTTAATTTAAAATAATAAAAATAATTAAAACATTTAGAATGAATAAACTGAGCAGTACAAACTCCAAGAGAAGACCTGAGTGAAAAGACAGATCGTTAATTGGCACTCAAAACATGTGCCAATTTGTGCCTCCTTATAACAAAGACTTTGGATGCTGAATGAAGTGCATTTCAGGATCATCCATGAATTTAATAATTGTACATTGAACCTCTCACATATTAACTCCCATTATCCTTATACAAGTGTGTTGCAATTAGTGAGCAAGAAGGTATGATGTGCCACATCATCAAGATACCTCCCACTATGAGTAGGCAGTTGGCTCACTTCCAACCATGAATGGTGATTTATGAGGTCAAATAAAATCATAGCTGTACAGCTTTATTGCCTCTTCCAGCAGCTCAGCCATACTAATTGTTCTTCAGAGAAGACAGTGATCCAGTGTCTCAAAATAGCAGGTGCTCTATTTGTGTGCTAGGCCTCTGTCTTTCTCATAGGCTTTCTCATCATGGTAACACACATGCACATAGAATCCTTCAGGCTTCCAGAAGTCTCTTTGGCCTTCAGGTCTCTAATAAGACCAACTAAGGACTGCACTGAGAGATCCATAACACATACACTGCAGCTTATTGACCAGGTTTTCTAATAAATAGGATTTTTTGGGAGCCACTTAAACATGTACAAGAAATCCCACTGTTGCATTTCCCAAAACCCGATCCCAGGGAAATACGGTATTCTAAATTAATATGAAGTCCTAGACTCCTGAAACACCACAGTTAGTTTTTCATTTTGCTGAATGCATGGCTTAAAATGAAAGATTATTTGGCTAATTAAGAACAAGACATACTTTAACTTGTAAAAGTAATTAGCATGCAGTCAGATAATTCAATGCTAGATCAATTTTAATATGACAGGGTAATCAGTGTCTTAAACTTGCCCCATGAAATACACCATTGATCACAGGTAACATTAACAACTGAATGTATCATTTGCCCTGATGTTTGCTTATTTTTATGTTATGTATTGATTTTGGCAAATGTTGGGCTGGATTTGATCTAACTGGAATTCTTCATATGTAGAAACTGTAAGTATCACTTCCGATGGGGAATGAGCCAAGGAAGAAACGTCTAGTTTCCAAGTGAATGGATGGCATTCTCTGCTGTGTCCCACAGAACCCTGGAAATCATATAAAGCCAGATAACTAATAGTTAAACTGAAACGAATATCCATTTTTTTAGCTGGAGTGTTGGAAGTTACAAATTCATCCAGCTTACTTCAGAGTGTAGCATTCATTACTTGAGCCCAAGTTCTTGTGTCTTGATCTCAATTTTGATTTCCCAGAACATTAAATCTATCTTTAGGATTTCATCTTCCTGTTGTTAATTTTCTGTTGAACTTATTACAATATAAATTTCAGGTTATTATGCTGATCAATGGAAGAACCATTTAATTGAAAAGAAACCTCCAGTGACAACAGCTTACTTTGACACTGCAGACAAAGAACCATTCTGCAGTAAGTGATAAACCATTCTCCTTACACTTACCCCAGTTTTCATTATCTAGAGAAAGCCCCTCTCCCCATACTTCTTACTGCCCAGTTTGGCACATTCTTGATTAGGCTTAGTTCTTTGTTGCCGTTTCATTTCTGAAATGCTATTGTGCTAAAAGCAGGAGGAGTAAAATGGTAAAAGCAGGAAATGATTTGGGCAACCTGGTAAAAGATGACAAATGAGCAGATACGTTAATGGAAAAGGGCTGGATTTGCATTGGATAATCATAAAAAGATGAATTTCAAGAAGAAAAATATAGTGAAATATGGGCACATTAACCAAAGATTTACTACTGTCCATCATAAGCCCTATGGCTTGAGATGTATGTCAGTGTCAGTTTCACATACTTACTTCAATTGTGGATTTTTAAAATCTGAAAATTGAAGAGGCATATTCAGTCGGAAGCAGAAAAATGGGAATGCCCGGTGGGACCACCAGTGATTCTGCTTCTCCACATGACCTAAGGATACAATTATTATATCTAAACTGTTACTTCCTAGAGCTTCTTCTGCAGTAGACACAAGACACAGCAGTGCAAGCAGAATGCTATAATTTTAATGTCATCAAATGTAATGTTATCCAAGAACAAAATGCCGTTAGACTCTCCTGCAGCAGCACACAATATAATGTAGCACACATCATGTTATGAGTTTGGCTGTCTCAATGAGCCCGAATGGGCCTATTGCTGAAGATTTTCTTGGCAAACTTGATGAGTGATCAGGGAGATAACAAAGGGGCTTGAATGGTTCTTTATAGTCCAGGTTTTTTCCTCAAGCCATTAGAATATGATGCTTATCACAGTCTGCAGGGGAGCCGGATTGCTAGAGGCAGTTGGCACTTTGAATTTGGAGATGGGGAAAAGGTAGGCAGCAGGCAGCTTTGAATTCAGAGTTTAGCTGAACTGAAAGCAGCCTCTGGCCTTATGAGAGTTCATGTCATTGCTCTCTGGATGTAAGATCAGTACTTTGGATAGTTACTATAGAAGTCCATTTGCTTCCATTCTGCTTTGTTTGTAAGTTCTATTTTATTTCAGTTGCAAAAGTCTTCCATGTGCTCTCAGGCTGAAGTTCCTCCTGGGGTTCTTGCCTCTAGAGGAAGGACAGCTCAGCTGAGTGTGCATTCTGCTGAGTATATACTCATTTTGTATTAGTTTATCTTTCTTTTCCCTCTCCCACTAGTGTATCATTACTCTGTGGATATTATTACCTGGAACAAAAGCAATAGAAATGGTTTCATAAATATCAAAATTATAGATAATGCAGGAAATATCACAGAATCCAAAATTAAGAGGTAAGTTTTATTAATTTGTCCTTTCTTTAAGCAAGGCAAGCTTTTGCTATAATCATTAGTGCACCTAACTTGGAACTTAGTTCCATTCAGCTATATTAGGCTTATTACCAGTAAATTCCTTTTGGATGGCCTGCAAGTTAGAAGATAGATATGCAGAAACCTCACAAAATGCAAATAATGTACTGGTTACATGACACAATACATCGTGGGTAGCTAGTCACAGTAGGTTATTGTGTTATCTGAACCAGACCACTACTTATACGGTGGCTTAGTTTTGAGCAACAAACTATCCTGACAACCCATGGTTTGTTCTAGGTGTTGTTTGATCTGTGATAGATTTTCATATTGCCTGAAACTGGGAAAGGAAATTCATTGTGGGTTAAGGTGAACTCCTACTGCTCTTCACGATTTCACCTCGTGAAATCACGAGCACAGCCCAGCAGTGTTCTTGTTGTTCTGCTGCTGGTGTTCCTCTCCTCCTCCTCCTTGTTATTGCTATTATTGTTAGTCTTGGGCAGCTATGCTTGTATGGCTGTCTGTTTTATGAAGTCTTGCTTGGTCAAGTTCCTTGTATGTTTCTACTGTCAAAGGAAGAAGTAAGTAGATAGCATATATGGAAACTGATAGACTGACTGCATATAGACTAATTTGTGTACAGTTACTAGGGAACAATTAGTGATTGTCAACTGAAAAGCACCCAAGTAGACATGGGAGTGGCAAGAGTAGTTGCATGAAAAAGAAGTGGAGATAATATATCCCCTTTGGTAATGTGAGCCTGTCACTTTTAAGTATTGAACTGACATGTTTCAGTGCCTTGTAGCTATTCAATGCTCCCTCTGAATGTCCAGCAACTCCACAAAGGGATAATAGTAACTTCCCCCAACATCATCACTTTAATAGATTCCTGTAGCAATTATTTCTGTGCTTACTGAGAGTTCCTGGCAGTTTTTTTTAAAATCCCCTTAGATGATGGTTGAACAGTGTATAGAGAATGGAACCACTAGTTCTGGTGTCTATTTGTTCCATTTTGAACAAATGCCATGCATTTAAGTATTTTTAAGCTGTTGGAAACATATTCAAAAAATGAGGAGTGGGAAATATGCACAAATTTAAGAGCTGGGAATTGGATAGAGGGGATCTTGTGGAAATGGAAGGGCTAGGGAGTAATGGAATTTAGCTCATCTACCATGATGGAGCAGTTAAAGTCCCTGGGGGCCTCTTGGAGAACTGTCCTAGAAAAGCTGAAGATAATTGAATTCCTGTAATTGAATCCTCTTCCAAACTAATGGTTAAAGAGTTAAATATTGAGGTGGGGAGAGAAAAACCAGATAGGTTCTCTCATAAAGGACATTGAGATACTGGCTGGAAGACCAAGGAAAAGGGAGGGGTAAAACAAGCCATGGTGAGCAGGAGTGTCTTTCAAGTGCAGCATGCCTTGTTCCTTGAAGAAGCCACACTGCTTAGCTTTTTCACGGAATTGCTTAGCACAGGGGTCCTCAAACTTTTTAACCAGGGGGCCAGTTAAAAGGGGCCGGTGCTGGGCATGGGCCTGAAAGGTGGTGCGGGTGGTGCTCATGGGCCAGGGTGGCGGCAGTGCGTGAGGCACGCATGCTGAGGCGGGGCGCATGGAGAGGGGAGGCGAGGTGTGGGCAGGTGTGCGCACGGTGAGGGGAGGGGAGGGGAGGTGAGGCGGGGGTGGGCCGGTGCTGTGAGGTGGGCACATGAGGCAGCGGCTTGCTCGCTTGGAGATGGTTTTCTCCAAGTGAGCAAACTGCTGCCTCCTCATTTGCGGGCTGAGGTGGGTGGCAGCGAGGGTGTGCGTGGGTACGGGTACGCACGTAGTGGGTCCAAATGGGCATGGCGGGCTGGATCTGGCCCCTGGGCCATAGTTTGAGGACCCATAGTTTAGCATAATTGCTGCCTGGATTACAGGGCTCCACCATGGATGGGTGTTTACCAAGATTTTGGTTTCTTAGGAAGCCAATAAATGCCAATATGACAACATCATGGAGGACTCTGAGTGGGCTGGAAGCCAGGCTAGCTTGAGGACATGTTGTTCCAAGAAGCAGCCACCTTAGGAGTTTGGCTTCCTTTACGCTGTCCCCACTGCATCCCTATTGATTAGATGTACTTATCTTAAAGTGGCCTCCCCTTAAGGCCACAGTGCCAAGGGAGTGGCTGTGGCAAGCAGGTGTCTTCAGAGTCTGTGAATGGCAATGTGACCTCCTTTGGCTGTAGTGGGGCAGGTCCCTGGGGCCTCCAGAACAACTGAGTCCTGGAAAAGCTGAAGATAATTGAATTCCTGTAATTGAATCCTCTGCCTGATAGTCACCTCAGAAGCCTTTTCTTCTGAAGATAAAGGTTTGGGATCAAGGTGACCATTGAGGTGATCAACCACATCCCTGGTAGCTGGATTTGGTTAGTGAGCCCCATGACTATATTGACAAATTGCCTTCTGACAATTGGCTTTTGTACTATCCAAAAAATGTGTATGCAGGGAAGGGGCACCTGCAGTGAGCCTAAAACAGTTCACAGCTGGAAGGGGAAGAATAACCTTCCTCACTGTCTGCTAGACACACTTGGAGATGGCATCCAGTAACTAATAATGACCCTGATCATATTTCTGGGCTCACAGTTGATTATTTGCATGACAATCAGTCCACAATAATTTTTTTCCAGGGTGGGCTTTTCTGGAAGAGGGCTGGGGAAAGAAGGAACATTTTATGGGTGGACAAGGAAGGTAGAAGTGTAATTACTTTAAAGCAGTAATGGAACTCAGCAGCATTCAGTAAAATAGATTTTGGATTTGGCTAGTCAACATGGTTGTTCTCACACCATTAGCTCCATAAACTGATACTCCTTCCAGTTGTCTCTTTCCCCCTTCATTTGCTCTGCTTCTCCTCTCTCCTACCCTTGCTTTCCTTTGGCTTCCTCCCTCCACCTATGCACTTTCCTCCCACACAGTCCATCTGCACTCCTCTCTCTGTCTCTGCCACACTCAGTGCCTTCCTCCCAAATAGCATTCCAGGCTGTTGTGACCATGCCTGCTCCTCACTGGATATGGCATCTGAATTCACTGCTTAGTCCTTGGGGTGGTCTGCCACTTTCCACTGTCTGTAAGTGGCATCAGCTGTCCTTGCTTTAGGAGCTTGTAGCAGCCACATATCAGCCCAGTAGCTCATAATGCCCAGGGAGAGGAAGGATTTAAATGCCTGAGACATTTCCTCCTCTTCTTTCCCTTCCTTCTTCCCCAAGCCAGCCTCAATGGTACACAGTTGTCCTGCTGCCACCAAGCAAAAACAGTGTGATGCATTGGTTGCAATAGACTAAAACTGGTTAGTAATGTGCAATACTGGAAAAAAATTGAAACAGTGCATACTTGCACAGCATCTGTGAATTTTGGATTTTTAGAGTAATATTCTGAAAAATGGACATTTCCCAGACCAAACCCCAAAATGGCGAACTGTATGGCCAGCCCACTGCCTGGAACTGCAAAAAAGAGAAAAGTTTTCAGTTAGCTGGCCGGAATGCATACGGGTTGGGCGGTTTGGCTGGCTGGCATTCATGTTATGCAGACTTAGAGTAGAATGATCCTCACAAGCTAGTCAACTTGTATTATTGTAAATGTATTGCATGCATCTAGGTGTCAGTGTAACCATGCATCTTGCTTTTTCTTTAGTGATGCAGCCACATTTCAGCAATATAAGCAAACCAATATATTGGCTGGATTTTATTTGGATTTCCACAGTGTATCAAAAATTGCCTTAACATTTTCTACAAAGAATGTAATAGGCCCAAAGTACAAGCTTAGGGTCCTCCAAATGAGATTAAAATCTATGTCAGATCCAGAAAGGTAAGTGTTAATTACTTTATTCAAGGTCTTCTGGGTGGATATATTTATATGGTCCTGAATGTGATTATCAGTAGAGCAAGTCCTACAAGCAGCCTGGAGTCTGTAACATCATGGTATGGGAGTGGTATAACTTATTATATTATTATTCCTTGCAAGAATAATAATATATTATTATTATTATTCCTTGCAAGTGCTGCTTTAGAACATAATTCTCAGGAACCCCCCAGAGTTTAATGAAAGCTGGAGACATTAAGTAATAAATATATTTATTCATTTATTTATTTATAAAATTTGTATTTGCATCTCTGAACGGCTAACAACATAGGCAATTTGACAACCCTCTCTGGCTGCAAGTTAATAAAATGCAACAACAATATTCAATATTAAAATATATTAAAATACTGATTAAATAAAAAGGTCTTAACCTGGCACCGAAAAACATATAATGATGGTGCCAGGCGGACCTCTCTGGGGAGCGCATTCCATAGTCAGGGTGCCACCGCAGAGAAGGCCCTCCTCAGGCTACTCTGTCTTCTAACATCTTTCACAGAGGGTTCCCGGAGGAGGGCTTCTGTTCCCGATCTCAAGGGGCAGAAGAGCAAATAGGGAAAAAGGCGTTCCTTTAGGTATCCTGGTCCCAAGCCATTTAGGGCTTTATAGGTAATAACCAGCACCTTGAATATAGACAGTTCAGGGGGCAGGTAAGGCATGTCAGAAGGTGAAGAAGGCCTGTTTGGATCTGAAACAAGGTTTAGCAACAGGAGCCCTCAGAGTCTCTCTGTTCATGAAAGGTGTTGAAAGGAATGCTGTTTAAGAAGACTGCATTAAAACTGAGGCTGGATGAGTGAAGGTTACTTGCTAGGTCAAGACCTCCAGAACTGTGTGGATGGCAATGCATTCTCCTTTGGATATAGTCTTGCATTGTTTTCTTTGCTAGACTGCATGTGTATTTTCTTGGGCTTATCCACAATTTTTCATGTTTTATTTAAATGACAGTTCAATTATTGTATTGCCTAGAGTTCATTATCATACAGTCAAAGGCTGTAATTGCATAATTGCATCTTGCAGTTTGGTAAAATATGTGAAATTTATGTGAACACACATATGGCTTCTGTAGTTATTCGTAATAATTATAATTACATAAACACTTGGAGATATGTTAAAAACAAGAGTACTTAACCAAGCTCCAAATGTTAATTAAATTAGAACAAAAATAGATAAGAAAGTATACAGCCATGAGAGAATAACATTCCAAAATTTATATTAATTTGTGAGATGTCTCCAGTATCAAGTTGGAAGGTGAGAAGCTCTGTGGGAAAATTCAACACATTCTGACTTCATTCCCCTAATTCATATGGCAAAACAATCTTGAAAAGTGGTCTCATGTGGCAAGACTGCTTCCCCCGCCTTGTTTCAACACACTTTAGAGCAAAGGAACTTTTGTAGTTATTTTGTTATGAATACTGATGGAAGAATTTACATTTATGTTGGCTGTTCTACCTTAAAGAAGTATCTCTCAAATATAAGACCAAATATCCTTTGCACAGCACTAAACATCCATCAAATCTTCTCCAGATTCAAACTTGATATTTTCCCTTTCAGGCCAGTTCACAACTAGTTCAGCTGCAATATAATTGATTTTAATTATATAGCCAATGCTTTCATAGCCAATGTCCAGAAAGGGCAAGCAATCCCTTCCCTCTGAAAAACACTTCTTGATTTCAGTGTGCTCATCATGTAGTGGAAACTGTGATGACTTCATTGTTTCTAGAAAGAAAGTCTATTGAAAAAATAACTGCCAAAGCAAACCAAAAATAACAGTGCAAACCAATTTGGTACTGTCAGTGCATCAAAAGCAAGTTTGAGTAAAATTGTCTCGTGCTCCTTCTAGATCTAGGCTTGCTCTTGTGAGTTGCTACTTCTTCTGGAAGGAATATGGCATAACTTTATTTAAACTAGCCTTTGGCATCCTAAGAGAATGCCAGTGTTCAGAGACAACTACTGAAAATGTCTCTCTTCATATCACAGTGGAACTTATTTGCCTATTGGTAGTGTACTTAGAAGACCGCTCTCAGTTGATCTTGGTGGAACACAGAAGTGGAAGCATATAATTTATATATAAACATATACATGTTATGATATGAAATGACATGACATGGCATATCTTGGCTTTCTGGTGATGATGTATTATCTTCCTTCTTGCTATACAGGATTCAGCTATGTAGATATGATTTTATACTGTTGGATAATACTGAAACAACCTTCAGGCCTATTCCATGCCTTAAGACCAATATGTGAAATGATTATCTCTTTAAGTATTTTCTCTTAAGCATGTTATACACATGAAGATTACAACAGCCATGAGAAATGGCATGAAGGCCAAGAAGACAAATTTTCAAACAACATGGCTACTTTTTGAGGATCAGACTGAACTTCGACAAGAAATTAAAAGTTGTAATGTGCTAAGATGCATCCTGCAATCCACTGCCGATTGACAAGAAGGGAATCAATGCTGTGAATTATCTTCCATGCTGACTTGTACTGCAAATCTGGCACCCAAGAATAATTGACTGAACTTAACAGTGAACACAACTTTGATGCTATGTGTAGAATTACAGTGCATAAGAACATAGTTTTTTTGAAGTTTTGTATTTGACAGATGTTGTTCCTTTTAATGTGAATTTGAGATCAGGGAGTTCAGGCCACCCTTTGGGCTTATGTACAATGGAACAAGAAAATCTTTGGTGAACAGGGTATTGTGAACATCGGGGTCCACAGACTCACAAGGACTTGCACGATTGGGGCAGTAATTGATACAATATGAATAGTGCAAACTGACCAGAGAACCAAAATCTGTTGACCTAGTCAGGCATTCAATACCTATGATTATTTAATAGGTAAAGGGTCTTTCTAGAACATGCAAGCTATTCCTACTCCCTAGAGCCAGGCATGTTGAACCTCACAGCCCTATGGGCCAAATGTGCCATCCCTATCTGATCCTCTGGAGTTCCTGGGTGGTCATGTCCCCTTCCCTCCAACCATAAATCACTGATGATTTCCTGGCTTGGGCCCAATTCTTTATTCTGACAAGATTGAAATATCTCTCCTAAGGATTAATTACTGGCAGTAAGAGACTCAAGATAAAATATGCTGGAGTTTGAGGGCATTTCTGGTGTTCTTGGCCTTGCCTGCTTTTGTTGTCAACATCCCCCACCACCATAATACAACCCCCATGAGTGCCTCCAGTGCTGATTTTGGTACTCAAGCTGACATCCATAAAAGCCGCTCTCTAGCCAGTCATGCCACACAAAGGTTGCACAGGGTGTACATCAGTTTCTAGAATGTAGGAATAGCTTGTGCATTTTAGGTAGCTCTTTGACACATGATGCATGTGTTTATTTTTTTAAAGTATACAGAGCTCAATGTGATTTATTTCCTAATAGATGTACTTATAATTAGGACACTAGCTCTTTAATTTCTGCTTTCATGCAACCCTAACCCATGTATATTTTTAGTTTATGTTTAATTAAATTGTATTTATTTTAAGCCAAGGGCATGTTGCTAATACTAAAGTAATACAGAAAAGATTTCTCTTTGGAGCCAGTGACAATAACATGGAGTATACTTTTCATGAGCTTCTTGGGAGTCATTGATGTTTTTAACATCCAGACCAGAATTGATGGAGCCATAATTCGTATATAATCCCACCTAATTCATATAGAAAGCAAAATATTGTAAATGTGGTTTTTTTTTACTTTTAACAGTACAGGTAGTGTGCAGAAGTCATATGGAACCCTTCATGCTTCCACAGTTGATTACTCCAGGCAATGCTTCCGTTTCTGGCTCCAGTAGTAGAACAGAAAAATATACTTGAAAAATTGGACTGACAAAGAGGAAATAAGATGAAGGAAAGCGTGTTCACTGTGGCTTTATCATGTACCCTTTTTATTGCTTTAAGTAAGCTCTTCCCACTGCTAGTTTTATCTGTAAAGTTCTCCCTCACATCATGATCATCAGAAAGGCTACTGTGGCCTGATCCAGCAAGGTTTTTCTTATTTTCTTGTAGGTGAATGCAAGGGACACATGAAAAGAAACATGACTGGATAAATACAGAATATTGAAGGACAATGGTATTCTAGTTATTTTTTAAAATGTATTATTGCATTTATATTCTGTCTTTTTTTCCTCTTGCAAAGACCCCAAACTGACTTACATGGTCTTCCTCTTCTTCCATGGTATTCACACAATAATGCTGTCAAGTAGGTTAGGCTGGACGTCCAATGAACTTCATGGTGGACTGCAGACCAGCGCCTGAAATTCATCAGTCCCAGTGCAACACTCTGCACAGTCACTGATACGCGTAGTACACTGACTTCTGTTGTGGACACAGTTACTTAGACTAGCTGCAGGAGAAGAGGAGAGGAATTATATCACTGTGCTTAAGGGTAATGCCAGGAAAACACACACACACACACACACACACACACACACACACACACACACAAATTCTTAGAGAACACAGCAGGAAGAATAGTTGCTATACTCTGGCGGGCTCTGCACCACCCAAGGGCATGAAAGAAAGATGTGGAGCAATAGAAAACGTGGGGGTGGAAAACGCAGGAGACGAAAGACTGAAAAATGAGCTTTGAAAAAGAGATCAATGAAACAGGTTTAGGAGACAAACTTCATTCATGCCTGTGACCAGGTCAAACAATCCCTGGAATTTCTGGCTGTCAGCCTACAGATCATTTCCAGACTTCTTGACAAGTTTGCGTATGCTCCATTTTCTTGTGGCATCTTGTACTAACTGCAAAGGATAATGTGGACACTGTGATTCTATATTTGAATGTTGCTGTAGCAACCGGCTTTCTATGGACCATCTTTCTTGGAGAGGGCAATACATATCCCTCTCTTACCAAATTCTGGCAGGAGTTTTCAATGAGTGGAGGTTTGGCTTTTTTAAGATGTCAGAAGGAGGAGCTTTGGATGGACTTTCATAGCCAGAGAGCAGAGCCAAATGAAAGTGTAAAAAATCCTGAGAATTCTTGTATGGAAATTCTATCCTGTAAATAGGAGGCCAAAATCCCCACACCATCAAAAGAGAAGCTAGCATTTGGCAGCAGCCCTAATTCTTAATTAAACAACAAAACTAATTTCTTTTTAACAATAATGGAAGGTGTCTCTTCGTCTAAAGAAAATACATCCCAGGAGTAAGTGCAGAATCTGGAGCTAGTTTATTACAGCAATGACAAAAAGACCTCATTAGCACTCATTTGCAGTAAAGTACTTAAATCTGTTTTGCAGTCGTGGTTAGGATGCTTGGAAGGATTTTGGCAGGGTTTTTCTTTTAGTGTTTATTAAGTGAGGCAAGTGGAAGTGGATACATCTGGCAATATTATTGCACATCATCATCATCATCATCATCATCATCATCATCATCATTGTATTAAGAGAGCAGGACTGGGACTCAGGAGACATGGGTTCTAGTCCCCACTCAGTTATGGAGTCAACTGGGTGACTTTGGGCTAATCATAGACTCTCAGCACAACCCACGTCACAGGTTGGTTGTTGTGGGGATAAGATTGATTGCAGAAAGAAGAGAATGATCTAACTAATTTGAGTTCTTTAGAAGAAAAAAGAAGGCAGGATATAAATCCAATAAACCACCCTTATTAAATCTAATAAACAAGCTCCCTGCTACAGCCAACTTGGCTCCCAATTTGCCATCTTTTTGGTGCCAGGTTAAGACTGACCTCTTTGCAGAGGCCTTTAAAGACCTCGCTGGGCATTCTCTGACATGATTATCCAGGTGCCTTTCTTTTATTCCAGGTGCCGGGACTTTTTAATTCTCTTTTTATTGTATTTTAATATTTTATGCTATTTTAAAATTATTTTTGATTCCTTGTTAATGCTTTTAATGCTATTGTATTTTATTGTTTTTATACTTTGTGGTAAACTACCTGGAGAACTTTGTCTACAGGAAGTATAGAAATGTAATGATGATGATGAATTTATAACAACAATATTACCCCATTCTTGTGAATCCAGATATAGTTTGCTGCCCTTATAACACTAGTGTCATCTTAATTCAGAAATATTTAAGAGTAAACCTGTAAGAATGAATTTAATCCCAACTAAGTCTCAAGTCATCTTACAATTTCAGTGGGGCCTATTCTAAGCACAATTCTGGATCTAAGCCAATACTAACATTTTGAGCCTAACTGGATCTAAGCCAATACTAACATTTTGAGCAGGCCACCCAGATTGGGCATGTGTCTTACTTTCCAGAGGACAGCTCTACGTTCACAGTTCCAGACTGACCCTCAAGGAAAGGAGACAAGGGCCTTGAAGTGTCTCTTCAGCTTTGAGCACATGGACAGCATAGTTGCATTTCTATTAAAATACTGGGTATTGGGCACCCTAAGTTCATCCAAAGACAGTCAGAAGTGCCACTTATCGGAACATATTAGGCTCTGACCACCCAGTTCTAGTCACAGCCTCACTCTCATTCGAATAATGAACTTGATGAAAGCTCAGCCTATTGAAACCTCTTGGAAATGTTTTTTCAGGACAGTTTAAGATGCTGGTTCTCATGCCACTGTGTCTATTTCCATGTGAATCTCTCCATCCCTTAAGGTCAGCTGATGTGGCCCTCATGCTCATGACATTGTCTCTGGAGCTTTGATTAGTGGTCATGTGAAAGAAAGCTTTCTCTGTGGAAACATCTCATATGTGGCACCTTCCTAAATAATGTGTGTTAGTGACTGAATTCTTTTGATTCTGTTGCTGTTTAAATTTCTTAAGGCACAATTCCATGCTTATTCATGCAGAAAAAAGTCCTACAATTCAGCATTCCCCAGTCAACATGGAAAGCCGACAATTGCTGGGAGGTATGGGAAGTTTTTCTGTCTAAACAGGTGTAAGATTACACCCTGAACTGATTAAGACAAAGGACATTGGTTCTTACTCAGATTTAAAATATAATATAAATAATTGTTAGTCCAGCATTTCTGGAGTCCCTTTTTGATGCTGCATGTAGTCTTTGATTATTGTTGTCTTTACCTAGTTCTTTAAATGATGGGATTATAGTTTCATTTGTCTATTTTGTTTTGTATTTAAGGACTGATTGATCTATCTGTCTATCACTCCTGGCTTCCATGGCTCCTATGGAAGGGGAAAGTGGGATGAAAATATTTGTATAAGCAAATAAGCTAAGAAGATGAATTCAACACTGGGGGTCATGTTTATCACTTAGATGTGGAAAGAAGCCAAGATATTATCTCAAGCATGTATAGCTGAAAAGCTAGATGACCTTCTAGCGTGCTTGTCTATATGGATGGTGAATGTCAGTTTCTCCCACAACTGATTTTTTATATCCCACAATGGTAAATGCAGTTCAATGAGAGCAATGCATACGGGGCAAAAAGTTCCAGCTTCTAATATAGGCTGATGAGTTAGCGGTGATTGATTAAGAAAGTGATCTTGGGTTTGTGATGGACAGTTCGAGGTAAATGTCAACCCAGTGAGCAGCTGCTGTGGAAAAGGCAAACTACATGTTAGGCATAATTAGGAATGGAAATGAAAATAGAACTGCCAGGTTCACACTCTGCTTATCCAACTCCATGGTGCACCTGCACTTCGAATATTGTGTACATCTCTTGTCGGCTTACCCAGAAAAGAATATTACTAGCTGGAAAAAGTACAGAGAAAGAAAATGTTCAAAAGCCTGGAGCAACTTTCCTATGAGGAATGGCTACAACAACTGGGACTATGTAGCTTGGAAAAAAGATTACTAATGGGAGACATGATAGAGGTGTTTAAAACGATGTATGGTGTGGAGAAGGTGGAGAGAGAGGCATTTTTATCCCTTTCCAGTGATATTAGAACTTAGGGTTACTCCATGCAGTTGATTAGTGAGAGATTTAGGAAAGGTGCATGAAAGTACTTCTTCACACAAGTTCCCTTGCTCATAGGTTTATTCTGAATGGAGCTGCATCCTACTATAAATGGATAAAGCTGACTCAGGCCCATTTCAAATATACCTTTAAAAACTCTGCACAAATAAATGCTCACCAAAATATTACTGTTCTTCCATTATTAGAATTTTCTGAAGCCACATTGTTTATAAACCTGACAGATTCTCTAAGGAATGATTTCTGTTTGCATTAATATTTTGACCTAATCCTTTTTCTGGATTAGCTGGGGAAAAAGTCAATGTCTATTTATCAACCTGCTGCTGTTTTGGCTTGTTTTTCAATATACTTTTTAAAATTTAGAATTTGCCTATATGCATGATACAATGGCCTCATCAAGAGATAGACACTTCCTTCATGCACTTTGCTTCTTGTTTAAAGTGTTGGGGACAGAACAAATAATAAACTTAAAGGGTAGGAGTGGGAATATTTATTAGTATAATATTATATTATATAATCAATATAATTGACATTTATTTATTTATTTATTTTTCGATTTATATCCTGCCTTTTTCCTACAAAGGGCTCAAGGCAGCTTACATCATTCTCCTCCTCCATCTTATCCCCACAACAACAACCCTGTGAGGTAGGTTGGGCTTAGAGTCTGTGACTGACCCAAAGTCACCCAGTTGGCTCCATGGCTGAGCGGGGGCTAGAACCCAGTTCCTCTGAGTCTCTTAACCACTACACCACACTGGCTTTCCCATTATATCTCCCATTTTGATCTCTTGCAAGGAATTCAAATGATGCATGCTATGTGTGGAAAAAGTGGAGAGGTAGATATCACTCTCTGTAATGCTAGAACTTGGGAGCATCCATTGAAGCTCAGCAGTAGGAGATTCAGGAAAGACAAAAGATCATGGTTAAATGATGGTATTTGTTTCCACAGGAAGTGCTTTGGCCACCATCTTAAATTGTTTTAAAGGGGAAATTAGACAAATTCACAGGGGACAAAACTATCACTGCTACCAGTCACAGTGAATATCTACAACTTTCAAGATCAGAGGCTGTATGCACAGGCACTCTGGAACAACAGTGAGACAGGTCTGTTGACTGCATATCCTACTTGTGACTTCCCCATAGACATGTGGATGACCGCTGTTGGAAAGCAGCTGCTAGACTATATAGGACTCCTTTGGTCAAACAGGGTTCTTC